ATTGGAGAGGGTGCCGGCTGGGCTGAGGGACACACACCCTGTGCACAAATTTTGTGCACCAGGCCACTAGTATATTATAATTCCATATATTTATATTGTATATATTCTAGTTATATATGTTAATTACATATCTTAATTATGTACCTCCTAATTCCAAACATTTTATTATATATGTGTGTTTGTGTTTAGATAAATAGGATATGTATAAAATTACAACGTATTATTAGAAGTTACACACACATTCATGGTTAACTGAATTCAAAGTCATACCTATAAATAAAAATTAGAATATTTTAGAAGTTTTCTATCTTTCAATTATCATTGACATACAATCGAATATTCATTTTAGATGTACAACACAGCAATGAGACATTTAGGCAATTTACAGTGATCACCCTGATAAGTCTAGTACCCACCTGACACCATGTCTGGTTACTACAATATTATTGACTATATTCCCTATGCAGTATTTTACATCCCCATGACAAGAAATGAGATGTTAATGATCATCTTTTGTGTGTGCAGCCCAGATATGGGTGAATTTCTGAGTGCACACCACCATCTAGTGTCTTTTTGGGGAACTACATGTGAGCAGCATACCATGTTGCCTTAGATTAGAAGAAAGGGACTGAGGCACTCCTTTATCCATTAATAAACGTTTATTTCACACCTCCTATAAACTTTGCGCTAGAGATTCAGAATATAAGACTTTCCAGTCTGAAGCCTCCCTGGAACTCCTCAAGGCACATAAGCTCCTTCCCCCAGGCAAAGAGTGTCAGTGAGAAGGAGGCTAAGCAGGGGGAGTTGGAGAGTCCATGTCCCACTGCTCAGTTCTAGACAGTTGCTCTCAGAAAGACATATGGGCCTAGTGGTTTTCCTCTAAGAAAAGCCAGAAGTTCAAACACTATTGTGCAAATCTCTGATTTTTCAGTAACAAGTAATTCTAATTATTTCTAAACTAGTGGTCTGGTGCACAGATTTGTGCACATTGAAAGGAAAATAATTAGAAGGTGGCTGGCAGGGTGAGATTGGTCGAGATGGGCTGGACATGCCCTGGAGCCAACCTCACATGGTCCCTCCCCAGCTGGCCATACCTGGGGCCACACCACAGCTCAAAGGGCGTCTACGGAGTGAGTGGGATCCTTCCGGCAGGTGGGAGTCCCTTGGTCTGGCCTGTGGAGATCAGGCTGAAACCGCTCTCCAACATCCCCCAAGGGGTCCCAGAGTGAAAGAGGTCACTCTGCAAAGCTGCTGTCCTACAGGGAGTGGAACGCAAACACAAGTGTGCAGTAAACCAGATTTGGGGCCGACAGTGTCCCATCAACAACATAACCCACAGTCGAAGGTGGAATCATGCAGCCCTGGAGGAATTGGGCTCCCTCCTCTCTGGTTCTGGGGTACATCACCACTGGAACTGCCACTGCCAAGTCCCCACAGCTCTGCAGCTTCTGCATTGAGCATCTGTCCCCCAGTTGTCAGGGCACGTCACACCTACCGGCTGGTCAGACATTCCAACGGTTGCTTAGCCTTTTGATAGATAGATAGATAGATAGATAGATAGGTAGGTAGGTAGATAGATAGATAGATAGATAGATAGATATAGATACAGATATATATATATAGATATATAGATATATATAGATAGATCGATATATATATATATATATAGATATAGATATAGATATATAGATATCATGAGCCAACTTTGAGCATTGACAGGCTCTGCTCTGCTCAGAATGCCCTTCCAGAAAGAACTCCCTGCCAGGCTGAGAAGAGTGTGGTTAGCTGAGAGTCATGGCGGCTTCCACTTTCAACAAAAGGCATGCTTTTCTTGGAACAGCCCCCAACCAATAACTGAGTAAGGCAGTCTGGACATCTCTACCAAGGAGGGCGCCTCTAAAGAACAGCATTGGCTCTGGAGGTCCCCAGAAGACTGAAGGAGATTCTCTCAGGTCAGCATGGTAGGCTGACAGTTCCCCTTCCCAATCTTCTTTCTTCCCACTTCCTTTCACAAATATTTCCAATACTTTAGCCTCTGATTCCCGGAGAACCAACATGTAACATATGACTAGAATACCACTAAGTGGTTGCTTGAAAGCATATGTTCCATCTAAAATGCCCTGATGGAATGTCTTAGAATAATGCTGACAAAAGAAATAGAATGTTAGCCAAATTTGCAATTCTAAATTTTCTAGTAAACACATAAAAAAGGAAGCATTTTCTAGTAAACACATAAAAAGGGAAACTTGTTTTAAAATATAGTTTACTTAATATAACAAATTTAAAATAGTGTCATTTTCATATTTTCTTTTGTACTAAGAGTTTGGGATCTGGTATAAATTTTATACTTAATGGTACATCTTAATTTAGACTAGCCACATTTCAAGTGCTTCCAAGGAGGAGAGGGAGGACTTCTAAATATTATATATGTAAATTAAGGAGTATTGTAGCACAGGGAAAGGATGGGAATTGCACTTACATTTATAGCATGAATTAACTCAATGGTCTCCTTTTGAGGTACTGACAAGGTAGCTGCAACACAAGGCCCTTCTCACTTTGGGGCTTTTTTATTGAAATATAACACTCTCCTTTTCATCACGATCATATACCAAACTTCAGTTTGTGTCCTCAAATTCCTGAAGATACGGGCCCTTGAGACATGGTTGTCCTCTCCATTTCTACCTCTGTCCCCAGACAGGATTATAGAAGACATTTTTATCTAATTGGATAACCCATCCCCAATCCGTCAATGAGGGAAAAAGCAGTCTCTTATCAGAATAAGTGAGCCAGTGTAACCGAGAAAGCAAGGACCAACAATTATTTTTGCTCTTCCCATGTGGGAAGTCACAGCTGGTGTTTGTGTGGAGGGACATTATTCCATTTTCCCATCACATGGGAAGGAAAGGAGGTCACTGAGAGTTAGCGATTTTTGTAAGAAGTCAGGGACTGAGGCCTCAGGGATGGCACCTTGGTGAACCTCAGGATCAGCTTTGTGTCCTTACAAGACGTGTGAGATGGTGGAGCCTAACCTGAAAAAGCAGCGTTCAGACACACTGCAGGGTCCAAAGCAAAGTATCCTGAAGGGTCATAGAAGACATAATAAGGGAGGAAGAAAAGAAGGAAGAAATGGAAGGAGGGAGGGAGGGAGGAAGCTTTGAGAACATGGGCCCACACAGCAGAGAAGGGGCTGCAGGGAAGGCTCACTCACCCTGTCCTGGCACCTTTAGCAGATGTGCTCTCTCCCTGAGTGCTGGAATGTCAAGGCCAGGGAGCCATGGTCAAGAGTGTTGGCTGGGAACAGACCTTGAGCTTCCCATGCCTCCTTTGTTCTCTAGAGCAGTGGTTCTCAAAGTGTGGTCTCTGCATTAATAATAAAACCACATAGAAATTGCCAAATACTCCTCAATAGTAAATATATCAATAATTTGTACATTCATAATATCCTACAAGTGTTTGTGTCTTCAGTGTGTAGCTCTGTGCCTGGTACAATGTAGACATTCAGTGTTCATTGAATAAATGAATAAGAAATAAAGATTAAATGTATAGGGAGTATATAAGTTCAAGGAGAGATCACAATTACCTGGAATGCTAGGAAAGGCTTCCTTCAAGATGGAGTGGGAATTCTACAAGCTGTGATTAGAGAAGGAGCATTAGACATAGTCCAGTTTTGAGTGAGTAAAACCACAATCAGCTGCTCTAGTGACTGCAAACTCTTTGAAAATGTGGCCTGAAGACATGTTCTATCTAAAGGACCTCTACTCTGTGCTAGGGAATTTATATTTCATTCTTCAGAATCAAGATGGGGAATGATGGCACATTGAATATACTTATTAGGGAGTTCACTCATTCAACATTTTAAAATACTTACTGAGGATCTGCTCTGTACCAAGGCTTGTGCTTAATACTGTAATAAAACTGTTAAGGTCAGGAATCATCCCTGCATTAGTTATGAAACTGTAGGATGAGAACCATCTTTGTACCAGGGACAAATTATTTTCACCTATGTTCTTTACAACAGGCTGATGGAATAGTTATCATTATTAACCTCTCTGAATATGAAGAGTGAAGAAATTAAGAAACTAGTTTCATTTAAACACAGCCCAACGGACTAAAAATCCATGAAGGTGTAATTAAGAATGAATGAAAAGCTCTCATTTAAAACGTAAGGTGGTGGGTTTTGACAAATGAATACATTTGGCACCACCACCATCAAGACATTCCCATCACCCCAAACATTCCCTTCCCGGTCATTGATCTGATTTCCAGCATTATTGATTACACTTGTGTCTTATCAACGGCATCATGCTATGTGTACTCTTGCATCTTGCTTCTTTAACTCAGCATGGATTTTGTGTTTCTTCTATATTGTTGTGACTATCCCTAGTTCATTTTATTATTGTTGAATTCAGACTTTTAAGAAGAGAAGACATTCATGAAATAATCACCTAATTATGTTATCACAACAGCATTCATTGTGTAAGGATACCTACAAGTGAAAATATATTGTTTGTTGACAATTCCATCAGTACTTAGGGTATATACTAGAGGTGCTGTGAAGTGGGTCATGATTCAGTTTGTGGAAAATAAACGTTATTAATGGGTATCTTAAAAGAATCCTATATATCCTACGAATGTCTTTAAGTCCCTTATTTTTAAAATTTCAGTCCAGCTGATGCTCGGAAATGCTTTCTGTTGTCTCTTTGAACCTTGCCCTTCGCTGGTAGAAAAAAAAAAAAAAGAAAGAAATTTGTAAGGCGCATGCGCCCCTGTCCCGGAGAGCCCCCAGCAACAGCGTCAGCGGCCCTGCCACCTCCACGTAGACGGCGAAAGCGTACTGGGCCCTGACTTGGTACCGACCGCCCAATCCCGGGAGCCGTGGCGGTCACGTGCGCGCAGCACGCCGGCACGGCCCCGCCCACCTCCATGAACTCCCGCGAGGAGTCCGGCCTGCGCTGCCCCAGCCCCAGAGAAACTCCCGAGGGCCAGGCTGCGCTTGCTCAGTGCGGCCGGGGGGCGGGGCGGGAGATGCGGAGGCCGCGGAGCCGGGCCGCCCCACGGGCTGGGAGCCGGAGCTACGCCGTAGGGGCGCGGCGTCACGGCGGCCCGAGCCGGGAAGCCCCATTCTCTTTACGCGGCTGCCAAGAGGAAACTTCGTGGGTCCTTCCTCGGCGCCCCGAAGACCTGGCGCCGGCTCCCTGGTGCGCCACGATCGGTGAAACGCCTCTGCGTCAGGGCCTCGCTGCCCCCGCCAGGTGCGGGGCCTCGGCGCCATGGACTCGTCGGCGCTGGAGCGGGACGCCGTGCAGTTCGCGCGGCTGGCGGTGCAGCGCGACCACGAAGGGCGCTACTCGGAGGCGGTGTTTTACTACAAGGTGAGCTGGGCATCGCGGAGTCCGTCCGAGAGGCCAAAGGGGCGGGTCCAGGTGCCGAGGCGACCGGGCTATCTGGCCTCTGCTCTGGACCCTCTTTCTCTTCCTGCTACCTTCTGGGGCACCAGGCGCCCCCGTGCCCACCCGGGCTCCTGCCCCCGGGGCCTCTGCCACGAGGGGGGAGTTTGCTCATAGCTTGGGAGTGACCCCTTCTCCGGTTGCAGTCCTGATTGGCCATGCCCACCTGGAGCTGCTCTGGCCGCAGTAGTTAGTTAGGTGTGGGTAGTTAGGTGTGAGTAGTTAGTAGCCAGCTGATTCTGTCACTTGGGTCTCATTTGCGGCTCCTGGGAAGTGGTCTCTTAACACACCCTAAAAGAATGCATGCTCGTTGGAGAAAAGAAAATAACATCTTTAAGGAAGAAAACGTCTTTTATCTCCTAGCATTCGATGGTATGTTTTTGTGCTTGTGTTTCGACGCATGTGTGTGTAACCCCCCCCTCTTTTTTTTTTTTAGACAAACGGATCTTACTGTTGATGCTATTTATAATCTGTTTTCATTTGAACTTTTTCAGATGATTAAATTTACTTGTGTAATATCTTAACAGATGCATAGCATTCCATTATGTTGTGTGTGTGTTTTTAAGCATCATTCTGGTTTTTTAGCATCATACCCTTGTCATTCATTTTTTACGCGTGTCTTTTTTTTTATAAATTACTCGGGACAGAATTATTAAATCAGAGCCCACCCTCTGCTCTTCAATCTTGATTTGCAAACACACCCCTCCAACTCAGCCAGCCCTCTTCCTCCTTGTGGAGACAGGGGTATCTTTATCATATTGTCACTTTTTTTTTTTCCCCAAGAAATGTTGTCAGACAAGTAGTAGTAATTTTTTTTTTTTTTCCCATGAACGGATATGCTGTCAGTAGTGTGTGGTTTGCTTTTCTCAGATTAATATTTTATTGCCTTCATTTTATAATTCGTATTTGGAGACTTGTTCAGAATCATTTCGTTTGGACTTTTTTTTTTTGACAATTGGACAATTTCATGAAGGTGTTATTTCTTTAAAAGTAGAAATTCTGTGTCTTTTAGTTTTGTGAAACAACTGGTAAATATTCATAGATTAAAATACTGCCATATAAAATAGTTTTTTTCTGAAGTGGAAGGATATACTTTGCATTGCCTCTTGTTTTGCTGTAGGATTTATGTGCATGTCATTGGGAAGAATTTTTTATCTTTGAGAGTCAGAGTGGTTGTGCGCCTAGGAACTATTTACATAAACTTTATCAGATTTTTAGTGCTTACTTTCTTCATACTGTTCTGTATGGGATTCCTTAATGTTAATCACTTTCAAATAGAAATGAAATGAGTAAAGTAAAATTGATAGCAATTTTTAAAATTTGCTTTATTTGTTACGCAAAACAATTTAAAAATTGGTATTTAAATGCAAGATAATTAAAGGGATAAAATATATTTTACACATGTATATTCCATTAATTTATTGAAGTTAAGTGTAGCTATAATGTATTTAGATAACGTTGGTGCACATGGAGTTATTTTTTTCTCCCCTGAAATAATTGAGTTACAGAATCTGAGGAAATCATAGCTTTTGTACCCACACAGCTTTTAGACTGAATTTCCATTTGAATCAAAATCAATAATTTTCTTTTGTTAGGTTTAATGAAACAACTTCTGCTCCAATAACTGGACTCTAAAAGTGATAGTCACTGGATGGCTTCTTTGGATCCAGACAATTAACCATGAGCTTTCATTAAGTGTACCTGTTTAGGTTACTGCAGAGAAGGTGTGTTTGGAGAAATCTCTCTCTGGTCCTTCTAAGTGGTAGCATTGGTAACCATCCTGAAGTGGTGATGGGAAGAATGGCAGCTCTCCCTCATCAGCCACAGCATAATTGGCTGTGGAAGTTAGGGAATGAAGAGCTGGAAGGTGAATCCAGAGTTTCTTAATTCAAATGAGTTGATTTCATACCGCTGAAGCCTGCTTTAAACTGGGACACCATTTGGCAGTATTTTCTGTGGAGAAAGATTTTCTTCCCACTGTGAGATATTTAAGCTTTATAATTTCTTGTAATCTTTTCTTGACATTTAGTTTTACCTTATTTCATTGGTTATTGTTATCTGCTCTAATGCCTTTAAAGGTCACTTCTCCAGTTTAAGGTATATAATTTTAAGTCTAACCTATTGCAAAAAGAAAACATAAACCACAGCTATTCTAAGAAAATGATTATAATCAATCCCTCCTATTTGAGTTGATAAATTGTCAATAGTGTGAGAAAATTAAGAGCATTAGGAACTGAAGAAAGGGTATTGGAGTATTATATAATTCACTTGCTTTATAAATAAAATTATTATGATCTTAAGGACAATCTATATTTGTCATTCATAGAAACCAATAGTGAGTTAAAAAGTGGTAAAGAAAATTCAAATTGTAATTTACGTATTATATTCCTTTGCATTCTTATTTTTAGGAAGCTGCACAAGCCTTAATTTATGCCGAAATGGCAGGATCAAGCCTAGAACATATTCAAGAAAAAATAAGTGAATATCTGGAAAGAGTTCAGGCTTTACATTCTGCAGGTTAGTAAAGACTACTAAACTTGTCAATGTATTTTTTTTTTTTCTTCTCTTCCATCACATCTTACTTTTCCCTCTATTTTTCTCTTTCATTTTTTATCTTTGGATCTTGATCCTAAGTCTCCTGGTAATTCTTCTTTTGGTAATCATATCTTTAAAAGTCATAATATTTAAATGAACTATAGATCTGGCAAGGAGAACCTTAGAGATAATGCAGTTCAATCTCCCCAATTTCCCAGAGGTTTAGAGATGACCAATTATTTACATTCTGGCTGTATCATTAGCAAAATCAGGATTAGGACCCTGTTAAAGTATGCTTTTTAAATATCTGTCACATGCCTTCTCCTTGTATTAAGTTTAAATGACTATTCCTCTTAAGTGTTTAAAAATATTTTTTTTTATTGATTTCAGAGAGGAAGGGAGAGGGAGGGATAGAAACATCAATGATGAGATAGAATCATTGATTGGCTGCCTCCTGTACTCCCCCCTACTGGGGATCGAGCCCACAACTCGGGCATGTGCTGTTGACTAGGAATCGAACCCAGGACCCTTCAGTCCACAGTCCAATGCTCTTTCCACTGAGCCAAACCAGAGCTCCTCTTCAATGTTTAAAGACATCAGCATGGGTTCACAGAGCCTTCTATATCAGTATCCTCAACCGCAAGACCTTAACTAAATTCTCATAAACCATGTCTTAGAAAAGCAACATGTAGGCAGAGACCTAAAACAGATTGTATTTATGTTCGTAAACAACGTGGAAAATTCTTTGAAGCAAGTACACACAGACTGAATGATCACAGTTTTGTTAGAGATCAGGGTTTCTGTCAAAATCTGTTCACAAGGGTAGAAAAGAAAATAATCACCTGTTGACATTTTGTTTTAGAAATTCATCTCACTAAAGACTCTAACCCTTTTTCCTGTGGCCCTATAATAAAGCCACAAGCAGCAATTTATTTATTTATTTATTTATTTATTTATTTATTTTTTATCTCATAGCACACATAAACTATTACTAAAATTTAGTGGCACACCAAAAAATATATTATTTTTGCCAATCTGACCAAAGAAATAAGTGTAATTTTATTTCACACCGGATAGCTATTGCGTTGACTCGTTATTTTTTAATTTGACAACCTAATGAAAAAGAAGTATCTATATATTAGGTATTGCATGTTTTAAAAATTCTTGCTGCACACCAGTAAACAGGTTAATATCACTAGTTTAGAGGAATCTTTACGTATTCAATCTTTCCTGATAAATTTCATGCTATATTCCACTAATTTCAGAATAGATAGGAGCAGAAGTTATAAGCACATAGTTGGGATAAAGTAGATTTGATGATTGGATTGTTATTATGACAGTCCCTTTAAAGACAAATTGATTTAGCCTCGTCAGTGTGGCTGGTAGAACATGAGCCCACACATTGAAGGGTCTCAGGTTCAATTCCTGATCAAGTGCATGTACCTCAGTTGCAGGTTTGATGCCCGGCCCTGGTTGTGGTGATTTCAAGAGGCAACTATTCAATGTCTCTCTCTCTCACCCCCTTCCTACTTTACACTCTTCCTTCCATTCTCTTTAAAAAATCAGTAGAAAGCCCGGCCAATATGGCACAGTGGTTGAGCATCAATCTAAGAACCAGTAGATCATGGTTCCATTCCAGGTCAGGGCAGATGCTCTGGTTGCAATCTCGATCCCCAGTAAGGGGCCTGCAGGAGGCATCAATTCTCTCTTATCATTGATGTTTTTGTCTCCCTCTCCCTCTTTTTTTCCTCTCTGAAATCAATAAATATATACATATATATGAAATCTGTAGAGCATTAAATGGTCTCCTTAATTATTTTAAACAGAAGAATCATTTATCAAATAATAATCTTGTTCTGAAACCCAATTTTTAAAACATAAAATCTGCTGGCAGTGAAGAGACCTTTGAGAGATGAGTTGTCTTTTGGGTGGGAAGAGGTAACAGCCTAAAGAGAAATTTAGTTTTTATTCTAGGGGAGGTGGGAAGTATACTTCTGTCATCTAGTTCCACAGAGGCCAGAGACATTGAAAAATCACACAATGGACAGGACAGTCCACAGCAAAGAATTACCCATCGAGAATGTCAGTAGTGCCAAGACTGAGAAACCCTGAACTAGATATTTTAACATTTTTGAGGTTTGGTATCTTCATTTTATGAATGGGATGTACATTATTCAGAGAGGTGTTACTGAGAGTTAAAGCAAAAAAGATCACCAACCATAGCCAGTTTGGCTCAGTGGATAGAGCATCAGCCCATGGACTGAAGGGTCCTGGGTTCAGTTCTGGTCAAGAGCACATACCTCTGTTGCAGGCTTAATGCCCTGCCCTGGTCAGGCTCATGTGGGAGGCAACTAGTCAATATGTCTCATAAAGATGTTTTTCTCTGTCTCTCCCTTTTAATGAAGGATTATAGAGTTTTGGTAAAGAATGTCTTAAATGTATTAAAATGGTATATTGTTTCCCAGATAGATATATAGGTAATACTTCTTCTATGTGGCCTTTTTCCTATCCTAGTTCAGTCGAAGAGTGCTGATCCTTTGAAATCAAAACATCAGTTGGACTTGGAGCGTGCCCATTTCCTTGTTACACAAGCTTTTGATGAAGATGAAAAGGGGAATGTTGAAGATGCTATAGAATTGTATACAGAAGCCGTAGATCTCTGTCTAAAAACTGTATGTATAGCTACAACTTAAATTTGGTTGAATTATGCTAAGAAATTTCTCCCTTTACTAGTGAATTTTATTTAACAATTCCTTTAAAAAAAAAAGTGTCATGAATGTAACTAAATTACTCATTAAAAGATGGAGAGTAAAAAATGAATAGTGGATTTTAACATCTTGTTTAAAGTTTTGACAGCATTAAGATTGAGTCATTAAGGATTTTTTTTTCTAAATTACAGGTAGTTTTTTAATCTCTCTACATATAACTAAATTATTACAGGAAGAATTCACCATCACAAATTTAGAATAAACTCCCCTCTCCCTTTTTTTTTTTTTTTCCAATATCATACACTAAAAATGAAGGTAATGGTTTGGAAGTGCTTTATTAATTTGCAATGTGAAATCCATATGATGAGTTGCTTTCACTTCTCTCTGAGGAGCCCTGGGTGGGACGTGAGCTTTAAAGGGCTTATAGTGCATAAGAGCACTGATTTGACAGGAAGATGAGGGGAAGTGGTAGAGAGTGGTCTCAGTGTTATTCAGAGCACTGGCTTTTTGATTAGGGTGTTTTGCTCAGGAGAACCATCTAGCCTGATCACTGTGTGGTACTGGAGACTGGAGGTGAGCGCGGGTCTCTTAGGTTCCTACCTTCCATGGTACCAGTTCGCACAGTTGTGTTCCAGTTACCACCTGTCCACATTAAGTGGCCTTAAAGCTTACCTCAGTGACAAGTTTTCAACACTATTTGAAATAATACCTTTAAGAATGAAAATAAAATGTATTGGTTTATTTCTCTCATAATTTCAAGAAGTGTAATGTACATGGTCAATTTTTTTGCTTAGAAATATCATGGATCAAGAAAATTAAAAAATAATTATGCTTCAGAATGTCTATCTCTCTTTCTCTTAAGTCCTATGAAACTGCTGATAAAACTCTGCAAAATAAACTGAAACAGTTGGCTCGACAGGCACTAGATAGGTGAGTTTTGGTCACTTAAGTTCTTATCCATGGGTGGCAGTGTATTGTGTCACTTTTATCTAAATGTGTCAGAGCTGATAATAACAAATCTCCATCTTTTACCTGAGATGTAGAGGAAGTCTACTTTTTTTTCCTTTGAGTGCATTTACTTCCCTAGTTTCCTGCTTTAATTTTTAAAAATAACATTAATCAAGAGATGTTTTCTTTAGCTTTTTCTATGTATAAAACAAAAATGATCATGGTATTTGAAATAGAAGACTTCCCTTCTATTGTGAAATATCAGACTTCCAAAGAGAACTTCCAGAGAAGAGAGCCTTCCAGAGCTAATAATAAAAATGAAGAAATTGAGAATGAGCCAGCTTACAGCCATACACATACCCTAAATTATATAATGCAGTAATTCCTTCAACTCTGCTCAAATGTCAACTTTTCAATAAGGCCTGCCCTAACCAATATAAAAATGAATCTCCTTCAATACTTTTATTCTGCATACTCTATTCTAATATTCTTTTCCTTAACACTTTCTGAGGCATGAAATGTGCCAGTTTGTCATGTGAATGTCTGTATCCCTTCCATCACTTCAGTGCAAGCTCTGTGAGTACAGAGAATTTTGTCTGTCTTTGTTTAGTGCTCTGAGTATATAGCAGAGTGTTGGACTTGTAGTATGTGCTCAGTAGGCATTTGTTGAAAGAATAAATGGATTTGCACAATAGAATTCTACCTCTTGAAGAGTACTGTAGACAAAGGAAAGGGTGGAAATTGCTTTTATAGTTATATTTCATAAAATTACCTCCTTTTGAGGCTCTGACTAGCTGTACCACTCCAGTCCTTTTTATTAATCAAAGTATAATAGTCATCCCTCCATTTTTTTTTTTATCATCATCTAGTCTTTAGTTTTGTTTTTCAAATTTTTGAAGATATGGACACTTAACACATAGTTATCTTCTCCATTTTGACTTCTTTCACCAGTCTGAATCATCGATGACTTTTATTACCTCCTTGAGGCCCAGTGCATGAAATCCATGCATGGGCAGGAGGTGTCCCTCAGCCCAGCCCACACCCTCTCCAATATGGCACCCTTCGAGGGATGTCTAACTGGCAGTCAAACATCCTTCTCACAATCCAGAACTGCTGGCTCCCACCTACTTGTTTGCCTGCCTTTCTGATTGCCCCTAACCCCTTCTGCTTGCCAGCCTGGTCACCCCCTAACCACTCCCTTACCAGCCTGATTAATGTCTAACTGCTCCCCTTCCAGCCTATTTGCCGCCAACTTCCCTCCTCTGCTGGCCTGGTCACCCCTAACTGCTCTCCCCTGCAGGCTTGATTGCCCCCAGCTGCCCTCCCTTGCAAGCCTGGTCCCTCCCAACTGCCCTCCCCTGCTGGCCTGATAGCCCACAACTGCCCTCCCTTGCTGGCCTGGTCCCTCCCATCTACCCTCCCCTGCTGGCCATCTTGTGTCCACCTGGAGGCAGGATCTCTGACCACATGGGGGCAGCCATCTTGTGTGTTGGAGTGATGGTCAATCTGCATATTACTCTTTTATTAGATAGGATAGAGTTCTGGTGCATGGCTGGGGACCAGCTGGTTTGCCCTGAATGGTGTCCCACATCAGGATGGGGGTTCCCTTGGGGCATGGGGCAGCCTGAGCTAAGGGCCTGTGGTGGTTTGCAAGCTGTTCACCTGCACGTGCGCGCCTCCCCCCCTTGGCGACCCAAGTGGAGGGCCTGGTATCTGGGATTTATCTTCTACAATTGAAATGTTGTAGCCTGGGGCGGAGCCAAGCCTTCTGTTCGCTCTGTGGCGACAGCCATTTCTGTTGGGATTTATTTATCTTCTGTAATTGAAACTTTGTAGCCTTAAGTGGAGGCCTGGGCTGGCCAGGGTGTGTGGAAGGCTTGGCTTCCTCCATCACCGGGGAAACCCAAGTCTCCTTCCTGCTCTTTCTGTGGCTGCAGCATCTGGGTTGGATTAATTTGCATGCTTGCTCCTGATTGGCTTGTGGGTGTAGTGGAGTAATGGTTAATTTGCATATTATTATTTTATTAGATAGGATGTGGCTAACTCTTCCAGTATTCTCTAAGTGTTTCCTAGCTAAGTGCACTGGGGTAGGTCAGTCATGGGCTCCTTTCAGGAACTGTTCAAAATTATGGATTGGATCCATTCTCTAAGAAAAATGTACATAAATTTTTTGGCATGAATTTCATAGTTTTCATAAGACTCCTGAAACTATATATGGACCTCAGATTAAGAACTTATAACCAATCAATCATCTGTGCAACTTTTAGCTTGTTCTTTGACAAAGTCAGATTTCCTTGAATATCACGTGAGGCCTGAAATCCAATCCTTAACAGTAGTTTCATCTCCCACTGCTTCTCATTTGCACTATGTACAGGGGTTGCATCTTTTGAAATTACCTTAACTATGCTGTTTCATATTACCACACATTTACATATGCTATTCTCTCTACTCCAAATACTTCCTCACTCCCCAGGTGGACTCTGCAGCTCAACCATCAATTCAGAAAAAACATTCTCTGATTCACCCTCTCTTCCCAGTTCATTAAGTTACTACTGTTATGCATTTACTCAAAAGTAATATTTCATGTTAACATCTGTCACTTCTGATGTAGTTATCTTTCTTTCCCCACAAAACTATGAATACTTCAAGAGCAGGGATTGTATTTTATACATTCTTGTATCCCCCTTGCATAGTATCTGATATATTATAAATGCTCACTTAATGTTAATAGAATATTGTTTGCAAAAATACCTTTGGGAGTAGCTTAGTGAACAGTTGATTAGTTTGTAAGAATTTTATATACTAGGTTTATATTAGGAATGCTTGACTGGTTCTTGAAGTAAAGTTTATTTTCTGGAAAGCTTAAATGTGAAAAAAGCTAAAAAGTGTTTCTGTACCTCTATTATAGAGCAGAAGCATTGAGTGAGCCTTTAACAAAGCCATTATGCAAAATCAAGTCAACCAACATTAAACCAAAGCCACCTCCAACAAGAGCACATTTTCCACTAGGAACTAATCCCTTTCTTGAAAGACCTCAGCAATTTATAAGTCCACAGGCATGCGATGCACAAGGACAGAGATATACGGCAGAAGAAATAGAAGTTCTCAGGTAATTAGTTTTTGATTTATTGTAAAGAACAATTTTGTTAACATAATCAACATAGTTTCATTCTCATTAGGTTTGTTGAGTCATATTCAGATCTTATAGTGTATAATGTTATTAATTAGATATTACATTGTCGTGTAGTCACAACTTTAAATACTTATAATTTTTCTAAAATATTCTAATATTAGCATTTCTACCAGGTATGTTTTCCTGAAAATCCTAGTATTTCAAAATTGAACACTAGTGGTTAGGGAGCAAAATAGATCTGTGGCAGATCAATTAATCATCTGTGCAACTTTGTAACCAGATCCCTAATGGGAAAATAAGTTGTTGACCTTGAAATAGCAGTCTAGGCCAAGAGTCAGCAAAGGGAAGCCTTGAGCTATAAATGGTTTTTGCATTTCTTTAAAGGGTTCTAAAAAAGAAAACAAAAACACAGAACAACATATGACAGACCTCATTGCAAAGCCAAAACTATATTCTATTTGGCCCTTTAAAGAAAATGTTTATCAACCCCTGGACTAGGAAGCCATCTCAGTGTGTGGGAGAACTCATGGGTGTTAAACATGCAAAACAACAGTGATGTGGAACTCCTCGGTTGCATTCTGAGCCTGTCCAGGTGGGATAAATCTCTGAGCCAGTGTGGCAGTTCTTCAGTTGGGCTCTGGAAGAAATCTAACCTACTTAGAGTAGTGCAAATCATGTAGTTGCTCATTTTTAATTTCCTAAAATTGAGCCTAAAGGGTTCCTTATGTAGCAGCCACCTGAGGGTTTTTTTCTTCCTTTTCTTGCTATGGATTTTAATTCTATTAGTCTGGCTCTCTTTGCCTGGCAAATTGCATGTGAAATGAAACAGCACAGAGCATAATGAATAAGAGTGGTTTTGGAATTGAGAGATGGTAGATTAGTAACAGTCCAACACTTGGGCTACTCAGCATCCAAAGGTTCTCTTCTGTACACATTTGACGTTCCATAGTACAATAAAACAAGTCTATATTTCTAACAAATGCAACTATCCTTTATGCAAGTGAAAAGTTCTCATCCTCTCAGAAAACGTACTGATATATACACAGTCATAGTATCCATCGCTTACTGTATTAACTGTTCCTCAAATTCAGTCACAGTCTCCCCGAATATTGGGGACTAAGTGGTGAAGTTACCCTGCAATTACTTCTAAATAAAATGCGGGAAAGAAACAGAAGAAGGAAATAGTAAATATACTAGTATACAAATAAATACACACAAAACAGGAAAATATGCAAAGCTCCTACAAAACACATTTAACTTTTCAAGAGGCCATAGCTCTTATCTATGACATTTATCCACTCCATATTCTCATACCCAGAAAATATGAAGAACATAGCTTCATAATTATAAATGTCATGTTTTTTTAAATCTCAAAATAACTAAGCAGTTGTTTTTTCCCTTTGGACTTGTATAGAATTCACTTTATCCCTGGTATCACACTTTCAGTACTTCTGGTTGGGCCTGTATTGAGACTGTTCTTTTGTTGTAACTCTACTGAATTGAATTAAATCAGTTATTTTCTGGTATTCAACAATTTTGTAAAAAATTTGTCTAAATAAAGATACTGGTTTTGTCCAACATGAGATTGTTGGTTTAATTTTATTATAGTACCATACCTTGTCATTTTAAAGAGTTGAAGTAAATTTGGTAATTTGAACATTTGCTTTAGATTTTTCTTTTATTTTTTAGGACAACATCAAAAATAAATGGTGTAGAATATGTTCCTTTCATGGCTATTGACCTGAGAGAACGTTTTGCTTATCCAATGCCTTTCTGGTAAGTAAGCACTATTGCAATTTTGACTTCCAATCTTTTACTTTTTAGTACTTGTTTCATATTCTGAAGCCTAATTACATTTATAGTTTTGAATTTAAATTTGTAGTTTAAAAATTTGATTGGAAGGGAAGTGTGGTTATGGGGAGGAGTTAAGGCAGTGCAGCAGTACCTCTGTTACTCTTTTGTCTCCTTTTGCATAACATACTCAGTGCCAAGCATAGTTCCTGGCACAAAATACTTACTCGGGAAATATTTGTTCAGTTGTTGTTTGATCACAACAAAAATGCAAGTCTAAAAGAACTGAATGGAAAAGTGGAATAGAATGATAATATTGTTGTTTACTAAGAAGATACAATTTAAAAAAGAGTTAATAATGGAAGTGTTAGCATCGCCTTCTAGGACAATGGCAGCTTATGTCAAGAGCCTTAAAAATAATTGTTTGGTTCAAGACTCCCAGCTTCTGGTCATCCTAAGGAAATAATTTCATTAAGGATGTTTATACTAGAGGCCAGGTGCACAAAATTTGTGCATGGGGTGGGGAGGTTGTCCCTCAGCCCAGCCTGCACTCTCTCCTATATGGGACCCCTTGAGAGATGTCTGACTGCCCATTTAGGCCCGATCCTACTGCTCACAATCCAGGACTGCTGGCTCCCAACTGCTCACCTGCCTGCCTTCGTGATTGCCTCTAACCCCTCTGCCTGTCAGTCTGATCACCCCTTAACCACTCCCCTGCCAGCTTGATTGATGCTTAACTGCTCCCCTGCCAGCCTGTTGGCCCCTAACTGCCCTCCCCTGCAGGCCTGATCGCCCACAACTGCCCTCCTTTCAGGCCTGGTCCCTCCCAACTGCCCTCCCCTGCTGGCCATCTTGTGGCAGCCATCTTGTGTCCACATAAGGGCAGCCATCTTGTGTGTTGGAGTGGTGGTCAATTTGCATATTACTAGGATAAGAGCATTCATCAAAGCATCTCATAGCAAAAAGTTACTGAAACAAATATTTAACAATATAGGAGTGATTAAATAATGGTACATTCATTTTATATTAAGTGTATTAAGTATTAGGGTTCCCATAAAAAAATAAGTCCTTGAAAAATATAGAAAAAATGCTTGCAATCTAAGAAAAAGATAGAAAAGTATATAAACAGCATTCAATTTTTTTCATATGTTTATAGATATATAGAAAATTATGTAAAGATTAGACATCAAAATGTTTAGTTTTTATTTATAGGTAAAATTGTTTTGAGGATTCAATGAGTAATGTATGTAGAGTACTTTAGCATAATGCCTGGTATATGGTTATTATTCAGTAATTAGATACTCTCATTGTTAGCCTTACAGAAAAGGGTTTGTCAAGAGCCAAAAGATCTGTAGCTTCATAGGTAATTTTGAATGAATCAGATTATATTGTTAGTGGCTTTATTTTATCAAAACTTAATTTCTTGAATAACCATATCTTTAAAGTAAGCATAAATGCATTTAAGTTGCTCTTCGTTTGCAGTTATCTGTGTTTTGTTGTTTTGTTTTAATAGGGGCACATGATCAGATTGATTGGATTCATGATTAGTGTATAGAGCCAGATTTAACTAGAGAATTATTTTAGGATGACCTAAATATAGCTAGGATCACTGGACAAAAAAAATTAGGAAATTTTAATTTTGGTTTTGAGTCATTGTTTAAGATTAATTTTATTGTTTTTTAATTTTTATTATTACCTCAGTGATAGATTGGGCAAGCTACCATTATCACCTAAACAAAAAGCTATGTTTTCCAAATGGGTACGCCCAGAAGACCTCAGCAACAATCCTACAATGATTTATACTGTGTCCAGTTTCAGCATAAAACAGGTATGTGTGTATATATATTGTATATTTCTAAATGAATGCTAGCAATTTAAAGTAATTTGGATATAGATTTGACTTTTTTTAAGTTTTTATTATCTATTCAGATGCATGAGTATATTTGGAAAAATTATTCTGCACACTTTTAGACATACTGAGATAATAAAAGTATGAATAACTATTTTGAGCAGACACAGGGTTTTATATAGACCCTATTTGTGGACACATGCTTGCAGATGAGAAAGTTGAGAATATGAAATTCACCATTGATAAGAAAATAGAAAAGATAGAAATGGGGCTTATTAAAAACACTTCAATGTTGAAACAACAATATGACTTTATTGCAAACTTTAAGTTTTGCAATGAAATCATAGGTCTCTTCCACATTAGTATAAAATAGTGATGATTCAATCTTTTATATACATACTAGAGGCCTGGTGCATGAAATTAATGCATAGGTAGGGTTCCTAGGCCTGGTTGCCAATCAGGGCCTTCTGGCTGCCTTCCTTCGTTCTGCGCTGCCCTCTGGTGGTCAGCACACGTCATAGCAAATAGTCTAAATTCCTAAGGGAACAATTTGCATATTAGCCTTTTATTATATAGAATTCATCTTTATAGGTCATAAACCAACTTTTTAAATGTCTTTAATTTTTTTGTCATTAAAAGTGTCATTCACTAGATAAAAATGGTAAAGGGGTTAAGAAAACACACACACACACACACACAAAAAAAAAAACACAACAGACATAGACAACAGTATGGTGATTACCAGAGGGAAAGGGGAATGGGGAAAGTTGGAGAGAGTAAAGGGGGTATAAATGGTGATGGAGGGAGGTTTGGGTTGGGGTATTGAACACACAATACAGTATACAGGTAATATATTACAGAATTGTACCCCTGAAATTTACATAATTTTATTAATCAGGGTCACCCCCATACAATTTAAAAATAAAGTAACATTGTAGAAGGAAAAACAATGGGTATGCCTTTATTTATGCAAGGAATGCATCCATATTTAATTATTCTAAATTCATTGAAAGTTTATTTGGTTTTTCAAGGATTTATTTGAGCAAAATTTGAGTTGGCAGTATGACATTTCTATTTATTTCTTACTCAAGCAGTAGTCGAGATATTTAGTATAAAAAGTCAGGTGCTAGGTGCAATGCTTAAATATTGTGGAAATGTTGATACATTAATGAAATATACTGATAAATTCTTATTAACAGACAATAGTATCAGATTGTTCCTTTGTCGCATCACTGGCTATTAGTGCAGCTTACGAAAGACGATTTAATAAGAAGTTGATTACCAGGTAAAAATTTATATTTGTTCCTTTAGCACTTTTCATATAAATGTCTTAAATAGAAATTTAAAATGTAGACCTTTTTGGCTTAGAAAGTAAAGAGAATGTATCACTCAAAATATTATGGCTCTTATGTATTAAGCAGATGATTTGTGAATGTGAACAGATTTGCTAAAACAGAGTAAGAATATATGTGCATGTAGTTAATATGTGAAGAATAAGTATGTCTTGAAATAAATGAAATTAGTCAAAGTAAAATTAAGTCATGTTTATAATTTCACTCACAATCTCAATCCCTCAGCCCAGATTGCAAGAGGGCACAGGCCAGACTGAGGGACTCCACTGGTGCACGATTGGGGCCAGGGAGGGAAGCGGGAGGTTGGCCAGCTCGGGAGGGCCCCCCCGGGAGTGTTTGGCCCATCTCACTTTGCTCAGTCCCAATCAGCCAGACCCCAGCAGCAAGCTAACCTACCAGTTGGAGCATCTGTCCCCTAGTGGTCAATGCACATCATAGCAAGCGATTGAGCAACCCTGGCATATCATTCACATACTAGAGGCCTGGTGCATGGGTTCATGGACCAGTGGGGTCCCTCAGCATGGCCTGTGGGAATCAGGCTGAAACCAGCAGTCCAATGCTGCCTGCTACTCCTGCTCATCCTGGCCCCACTGTGCCTGCCCTGGGCTCATGCCCAGTAAGTCCCGATTGAGAGAAGCTCACACAGCCCAGAGGAATTAACTAGCCCTGAGCCCTGCCTCTGGTGCCCATCTGTCAGCTGAGCAGCACTCCCACTGTGGGAGCACACTGACCACCAGGGGGCAGCTCCTGTGTTGAGCCTCTGCCCCCTTGTCAGTGCGTGTCATAACAACTGGTCAACTGGTCATTTGGTCTTCCGGTCACTTAGGCTTTTATATATATAGATTAGACTTTGATTGGTTCAATGGATGACTGGACACTTAGCATGTTAGGCTTTTATTTTATAGGATTGTACTGTATAATAGCCACAATTCACATGTGGATATTGAATGCTTAAAATGGCTAGTCTGAATTAAGATGGGTTGTGAATGTACAGTAAAATGCATCAGATTTTGAAAACTTAGCACACAAAAACATATAAAATAGGCAAAATATTTCAAATTTTTACATTGTAAAATATTTTGGTGATGTTGGGTTAAGTAAAATATATTAAAATTACTCTAACATTTAATATAAAATATATGTAATATGAAATAACATTTCTTTTGACTGTAACTGCTTTAGAATGTACAGAAATGTTACTGAAATTGTGTGGTTGGTTTTTATTTTTTAAAGTTTTATTAGCTTAAAATTATTTATTATAAAAATTAAGCTTCATAAATTTTTAATACAACTTTCCATGACTGGTTTTTGTGTGTTAAATCCTGAAAGTATAAAGGTAAATTAGACACAGACCTTAGTTTCAAGCTATTTACCATCTTGGGTAAACATCATACATGTAAATAATGTGTGAAAGAAAATTGATGCTGATTGTTTTTACAAGTATCTTACTGGATAATTTTGTGTAACTTTTATCAGTGTTGTTATAATTTTATCTCTGTCAGAGTTGTTGTTTGTTGCCTTAGTTGTGGTTAATTGAAATGCTCTTCTTTACTTGTTGGGGTCAATAGTAGATTATTTTATTTGGGTTAAAATATGTCCATTTAATAGAAAATTTATTTGAGTATATAATTTAACACTGAGCATTTTTATGAATATTATGAGATTTATGCCCTTCTGTGTGATCTCATAATATAATTCATTTGTTTACATTTAAAAAAGCACTTTGATTAGGGTGAAATTTTTTTCTAGGCCTACTATAGAAAAATATTCTCATGTTTATTTTTATCAAATTGCCAAAACAATAGCACATATCTATAATATTTTGTATTAGTAGTTATGTTGAATATTAATGTTGGTGTTTCAATATTTATTTTCTTTACAAAGCATAATTTACCCTCAGAATAAGGATGGTGAGCCAGAGTACAATCCATGTGGAAAGTATATGGTAAAACTTCACCTCAATGGTGTCCCAAGAAAGGTGAATAATATCTTTGTCCACCCCAATCTCCTCTCTTCTCTCCCTCTCCTCTGCTCTCCTTTCTCTTCCCGCCCCCCCTCTCTCGCCCCTTCCTTCTTTCCCTCCCCCTTCCCTGCCTTTAAATACTGAATAGGATCATTAAGAAATATTACTTGTATAAACATTTTAAAAACATGTAAGCATTTTAACATTTCATTGATTTTTGAATTTGTGATATACATACTGCTATCAGTAACAAATGTTAATGATTTTAAAAAAAATAGAAATCATGACAAGAATAAAAATTTTTTTGTAATGGTTTTGGGAAAATTTATAGAAAGTTCCAAAAAATAATTGTTTTAGAGACACTGTACATTTCTAGAATCCCTAATAATTTTGATGTTAGATTCATAGTATTTAGCATGTGATTAGCTAAAGGTTATCTCTCACAGGGAGATTAGTGTGAACTTGAATTAAAACATCATATAACATTTTTAAGTTGATTAGATTCTAGAAATAGGAAACTGTCATTACCTTAATAGGTATATCATGCTATTTACTTTATCAGTATGAAAGATGCTTTTTTTAATAAAAAAGATTTTAAGTTATTTTATACCAACTAAGGAAGTACTGTTCTCTTTCCCCAGGTGATAATTGATGACCAATTACCTGTTGATCATAAGGGAGAATTGCTCTGTTCTTATTCTAACAACAAAAGTGAATTATGGGTTTCTCTCATTGAAAAAGCATATATGAAAGTTATGGGAGGATATGATTTCCCAGGATCCAACTCAGTAAGTAATAGAATGATCCAAATACAGACTACATTATCTAATATGACTATTTTAAATTTGAGTGATTATAGATGCTGTTTTGTTTAAAGGATGTGAAAACAGATAACCTCTGAATCATGTTTATTATGGAAGTATCTGTTTTCTTTTATAAGGTTAACACGTTGTACACTAAGTCCTCACTTAATGTCTTCCATAGGTTCTGCATCTTTAAACAAAATTACATATAATAATACCAATTTTACTATACAGTAGATCCTCGGGTTACATTGGAGACCCATTTCTATGGCACCATGTAAGGTTTTCGCCATAAGTCGGAACCCATCTACATAAGCACCTACATGGAACACATACACAGCAGTAATAAAGTGAAACAGTAAAAAATATTTAAAAGAAAGATAACAATTCCTGACCTTTACTTGTGGTAAATAAATAATAAAAAACATAAAGCACATATATACATGTCGAAATGACAGAACTTTTTTTATAACTAAATGGGAGATGGCGATGTAACCACAAAACGATGTACTTTGAGTCTGACGTAGCCCAAGGAATGCCTGGCCTGTAGTCTAATTTATATGAATGAGAATTAAGTTCCTATGGCATCTCTTCAACAGTATAATAAAATATTATTCAAGGGACTGCTGAATAGATTCAGTATTCAGGAAAGCCTATAATGTAGGTGTCTGCTATTATGTTGGAATCTACGATAGGAGCAATTAATACAGTGTACATTTTCAAAAAGCCTCTTCCCATCAAAAGAGTGTGTCATATTGTCATAGTTCTATATATTTTTTGTGATTTGTAAACTCAGATTCAAGGACTTTTTGTTAATTTTTCCCAACTTTAACCTGTAAAATTGATATATGTACCAATGTCCTTTAGTTGTTTGAAGTAAATTACTGGGCTTACACCAGAAATTAGATTAGCACGATTTTCATAGGCTTAGAAAATGTATTTAATCTTTCTTAGCCTCTTTCCCACTAGAATAACGCCCAAGTCTCAGAGTTGTAAAGATTAAATGATAAAATACGTGCATATAACTCATCATCGTATCTGGATAATTTTGTTTCCTTAGTACCCAGCCTCCTTCATTCTTCTGGTGCTTATAAAGCTAGTCAAAGAATGCATATGTCATAGGTAAATGCAATAAGATAGTAAAAATTTTCCCCATCTACCCGCTCAATTGCCCTATCCTTCAAATATTCTTAGTTTTTCTAATTCATTGCCCGTTAACCTACCCAATGCATCTTAGAGAATGAGAATATACAATATGTAAAAAATTTGAAAAGTAACATTAAAAAAGCCAATAAATGGTAATTGACTATCATTATCATTATTATTAAAGCATTTTTTTTTTCTGTTATGTGTTTTGGGTTTTCATACTTATTCAGGGAAAGCAGTAAAAATTTTAGGAAAAAGATTGTAAGCTTGTGCTTAAATCCAGGTAGGAATATGAGTTAAGAAGTTTATTACTGATAGAAAAAAACTTACTTCTGGTTGATTCCTGTCAAAATCATTATATCAAATTAGTGAGATTTAACAACTACCCTGGGGATGTATTTAGAGCTTGAATAAAAAGGTTGACAAGCCTGAAATGTGTTTAATGTTGCAGAATATTGATCTTCATGCACTGACTGGGTGGATACCAGAAAGGATTGCTATGCATTCAGATAGCCAGACTTTCAGTAAAGACAATTCTTTCCGAATGCTTTATCAAAGGTAAACATTTTCCCCCCTCCCCCCCCTCTCTCTCTCTCTTTTTCATAGTAAAAGAGGTTGTTTTGAAATTTCATACCTTATTTAGAGTAGATATTACAGAGACTGCCATTTTCCATTATTAGGGAAATTGTGTTTTTAAATGATTCCATTTACATACTTGCTACAACCAGCCCTCAGTTATCCTCACTGATGGATAGACAGCCCAAGTTATAGATAATCTAAAACATTGGAATTTGGAATATCTAACATGGGAAAATTTTTTCCTTTCTTAGTACTTAACCAATTTGAAGGAAGGTGGGAAAAGAGAAGTCTGAGAACATAAAGAGGAAGATAACTTAAGCCTTAAATGATATATAGGGGAAGAAGTGGCTGTTGCTTTTTAGTTCATTTCATAGAATCTAGGGCAGCTGATTGATATATGTTACCAATGTTTTTACTTCAAAAAACATTGGTAACATATAAGGACTGGAAAGTTATCTATAAATACTACACATTCATTAGTGAAACTAAAACTCAGTAATCTGATAATGAATATATTACTTTGGAGGAAGTGCATTTGGCATTTCATGTCTTCATTTTTATTTGTAAGTCATTTGAAAAGTTAGCATTTGGCCAAAACCGGTTTGGCTCAGTGGTAGAGCGTCTGTCTGCAGACTGAAAGGTCCCGGGTTTGATTCCGGTCAAGGGCATGTACCTTGGTTGCGGGCACATCCCTGGTAGGGGGTGTGCAAGAGGCAGCTAGTTGGTGTTTCTCTCTCATCGGCGTTTCTAGCTCTCTATCTCTCTCCCTTCCTCTCTGTAAAAAAATCAATAAAATATTTTTTTTTTTTAAAGAAAAGTTAGCAATTGTTTCTTTCCTTCATTGATAGCTTTCTACCTGAGAATTAAGCTGTCTAAAACTGGGTGGTGTGGGAGATGGGATAATTTATCTCATTATCTGTGAAATGGAAATGGAATTCTTGTTAAAGTCCTTCAGGGGGTGTTGGGATTAGCTTCTTTTTTAAAAGATTTTAAATTTGTGGAAATTTTCATGTGAACCATTAGACAAAAAGAAAGATGGTATGATCTGAGATTAAAATGTTTTTCCTTTAATCTTTTGTCTATTGGGGTGGTTCTAGGTTTCACAAAGGGGATGTCCTCATCACTGCATCAACTGGAATGATGACTGAAGCTGAAGGAGAAAAGTGGGGTCTGGTTCCCACACATGCATATGCTGTTTTGGATATTAGAGAGTTCAAGGTTTTACCTTAAGTATTTTTCTGTTTTTCTTGTTTGTTAATAAGACATTACAAGGATCCCAAATAATATATTGGACTTTAGAATACTGACAAATCGAGGTTTAGGCAAAGTTTTAAAAGCATTTTACCTGTTACATTAAACAACGTGATCTGTCATTGGGAATTATAAAATAAAAAGATGGGAAATTAATGACAGTGACAGCATAGATATTGTTGACAATAGAAATGCTATATGCCTCTTTCTCTTTTCCATGCAAGTAGAAGAGTTGAGGTGAATACACGCCCCCAACGTTTTGGGCAGCACATTGGTGTTGGGGTCAATCACAATGTTAGACTCTAGAGCAGCATTCACCAACCGGCGGTAATGACGTCTGAAAGGTTGGCGACCACTGCTCTGGAGCGTAGTAGACATTCAGTAAATATTTAAGAATGGATACCAAAAAAAAAAAAAAAAAAAAGATATCTATGATTAAGAAACATGCCAGTAGGTTTGCAAGTGTTTTCTTTCTCTTCTTGGTAGCCTTTGTATGCTTTCAGACCCTTTCTCTGTGCTCAGGTGTTGGAATGGTTGGCTTAATTACTTTTCATATTATTGATTATTTTTAACTGAAAAATGGATCTATCCTATAGATTAGAAAATACAAAGATATTTAAGGAAGGATCCCCGCCCCCCCCATGACATGGTACCTACGCTGTCTAGTCACTGGGAGGTTTAACTAACAATGTCTTTCAATTTCCCCTGCTTAAATTTATAGAAAGAATTAGTGATCAATCAGCAATGTGTATTAATAAGACTGATTTTCCTAGTGGCATATGGAATTACATGAATTATGAAGGCTGCAACATTAAAAAATTTATAGTTTTAAGGCTTTCTAAATCACCTAATCTTTGTAGAATTGTCTTACTTTAAATGTGACATAAAAATTGACTATTAAAGAAAAAAATATGAGTTATGTGAATTGAATAAACTGAAAGGTTTGTTTATGGCAAATTATATTCAAATATAAGCAAAATGTTGGGGATAAAAGTTGAATTGTTAGAATATTTTTTGAGGTAGGTATAATAGGTGACAATATTGAGGTAGTGGCACAAGATTTAAATTTTAGATAATGAAACAGGCAATATGAAAGTAAGCTTGAGTTTGAAAAAAATTTCTGAGATATAATTTACTTTGAATAATAAGACTATTCTAAACGATCAAAGGAAACTAGACAAATAACATGTTTATTAAATAATAAGCAACTCTGGTCTGATTTGAAAATAAAGCATATCAAAATTCCTGATTGCCAGTAAAATAATTTCAAATAACAGGCTTTTAAGTTAAAAAATCACACAGTATCAGTTCTACATGGCAATTATTCTGTAAAGATTGAGGCTCTTTAGAACATGTGTAGATAGAGTAAGCTGTGGCCTTATGACAGGTTCCTTCAGTCTTCACTGCTTCAGTCTTCACAGACAATCAGTAGAGGAAGAAGCTAAAAAGGATCTGAAAGGAAAGGTAGTTCAAAGGGATCAGAGAGGGTCTTCCAGGAAATGGAAACAACATGAACAAATGCCTTTAGAGGTAAAATTGAATAAGAATTATTTATGGGATTCTGAGAGGAAAGACTAAACTAGACAGAGATGTTGGGTATGAAAATAGTGGGGCCAGTGTAGAGTAGGCTCTGACAGAACAGGAAATACTTGATGCTCTAAGGCAGCACTGCCCAACAGCACTGCCTGCAATGAATGTGTTCTCTGTGCTGTGCCATTCATTAACTACTAGTTACATGTGGTCCTTGAATACTTAAAATGTGGCTAGTGTGACTAAGGAACTGATTCTTAAATTTCATTTTAAGTAATAGTCACTACCATATGAACTGCATAGCTCTAGAGATAGGTAGCCATTTGCAGTTCTTAATCAGATGTATGACATGTGAAAGTGTTAAAGAATATTAATTTCAAATTTATTTGAAGAAAATTGGTACGTATTCAAAATGCATCCTCCCGTGGAGAATGATACAACCTATGAAAATATGTTTAAAATGTTCTGTAACTTTTATGTTATCTCCTGGTTTTTTTTTTTTTTTTTTTAATAGGGGCTGCGATTTATCCAGTTGAAAAATCCTTGGAGTCATTTACGCTGGAAAGGGAGATATAGTGAAAATGATGTAAAAAACTGGACCCCAGAGTTGCAAAAATATTTAAACTTTGATCCTAGAACAGCTCAAAAAATAGACAATGGTAAATACATCTTTTTGTCATTTTAACACTATTTGATCTTTAAATAAATAACATGCTTTAATAATGTGAAATGTGTTTAACAAGTCATTTATCCTTAAGATATTTTTAGATTAATAAAGATATCTAATTTTTAGGAATATTTTGGATCTCGTGGGATGATCTCTGCCAATATTATGATGTGATTTATTTGAGTTGGAATCCAGGTCTTTTTAAAGAATCAACATGTATTCACAGGTAACTTTTTTGCATATTTCAGAATAAGCTTTCAGTAGTCTTTTTTTTTTTATTTAAAATAAAATGATTAATTTAGGAAGACTAGTATTCTCGTCATTCCCACATATGACTATCATCTAATAGTTATTTTCTTTATATGCTTCTTAGTCATGCCAAAAACTGTAAAAACTAAACCTGGTAACTTAATTATATCTGAAACACATCACTTCATTATTTCCTTCTTTGTTGACTTGATCTTTTAGTACTTGGGATGCTAAGCAAGGACCTGTGAAAGATGCCTATAGCCTGGCCAACAATCCCCAGTACAAATTGGAGGTGCAGTGTCCACAAGGGGGCGCTGCAGTTTGGGTTTTGCTTAGTAGACACATAACAGACAAGGTACTGATACCCTTTTTATGGTATTCCATATAGAAACTCCTTTAAAAATAATCATACCATTGTGAACAAAATATGTAATTTAATCATCAGCCTGTTTTATTTATATGGGTATTTTCTTAGAGGAATATTTTCCTCCAAGGAAATTTTTCGTTTGTAATCATACTCTTAGAAGTTTTATTCAAAAATCATCTCTGAAGAGCCCTAGCTGGTTTGGCTCAGTGGATAGAGCGTCAGCCTGTGGACTGAAAGGTCCCAGGTTTGGTTCCGGACAAGGGCACACGCCGGTTGCGGCTCGATCCCCGGGTGTGCAGGAGGCAGCTCATCAGTGTTCTCATCATTGATGTTTCTCTCACTCCCTCTCCCTCCCTTCTCTGAAATCAATAAAAATGTGTCTTTTAAAAAGTCATCTCTGAAGAAAAACATGAGGGAGTTTATGCTTTTAGTGAGGATTTTCATGTTGATTATATATGCTTTACGCCTTTAAAATATTAAATTAAAATACGTTATAGGGGGATTTGGAAATTTTGAATCATTAGGCCTGATTCTGTAAAGGGGAACCATGTTTTAATAGCTTTAGAGTCTTTTTTAATATATTTTTTCATACAATATGATCAGTTTATTGGAATGACAATTTAATCCAGAAAAGTAATTATTTTAATCACACTGAATAGCTGAAATAAATGCTTTTAAAATTAGAGGTGTTTTTTTAAGGGTTTTTTTTTTTCCCACTTAAAAGCATTTGAGCCCATTTCTTTAATCATATTGGATTCTTTGTGCTTTTAGGATGATTTTGCAAATAATCGAGAATTTATCACAATGGTTGTATACAAGACTGATGGGAAAAAAGTGTATTATCCAGGTATGTTTAGTTATCCAGGCAAACATTCAAACAAACATTAAATTTTTATTTATATGATTAAGTAGAAAATTATATTTTATGGAGATAATGTACAAAAAATTATGCTGATATACTAATAGAAACCACTCACATAGATGGTTATTTATGCTACATATGTTTTGTTTTTAATAGAGTCCTCAGAAATTTGGGAGTTCACATTGTTGTGAGAGTTTTATTTCTAAAACTTAATATCTTTTTTTGTCTGATCAAAAATTCTATAGTTTTCCATGGACTCTTGGATAAAATCCGAGTTCTTTATCCTGGTGTATGATTCTGGCCTTAACCTTCCTATCACCCTTTATCTCATGCACCCTTCTTTTCACAGTACACTCCTTGAGGTATGGCTACTCCTGAACACATTGTGCCCTTGTTGCACAGTCACATAGATGGCATTTGAAGATAGCACTGTATAAAATCATCTCTGGAGAGAATTGTAGGTACAGGGATGAACATCCAGGACCTGACCCTTGAATTCTGTCATCCTAAGATTAAGCAGAGGCAAAGTTACCACAAAAGAATTTGAACAAAGTACCTGATGAAATAGTAAGGTTTCATATAATAGCAGGGAAAAAAGTATTTCATGAGGGAAAGAGTGGCCATTACATCAATTATTATTTGAGAGGTCAAGTAAGATTAGAGAAGAGACATTGATTGAAATTAGCATCATGGCACTCGTTGTTGATCTTTACAGGAACAGACTTGGAGGAGAAGTAGTGTGATTTGAGAAAAGGCTGAAGATAAGGGGCAGTTGTTGACAGTTCTTTCAAGAAGGCTGCACAAAGAAACTGGCAGAGGTGGGGAGGATGGGATCAGAAGTTGAGTTTTGTTTTGCTTAATCATAAAAAATCATGGCATTCTGCCCCATCACACTGTGTGTGTATCATGAATTGATATTAGCAGTCAGTATCCCTAGATATTCTTGAAGGGGCATGGAATATAGTACTCCAATAATAAATGTCTGGTTAAACCAGACAAATTTTCCATTTTCACATGTTGATCATTATATAGCCCAAAAATCACAAGTGTTCTGAATATGTTCCTAGCATTAAAATGTTTCACTGCTTTTGAATTTCAAATATATGTTTCCCTTTTTACTTGAATCTCTTTTTTATATATATTGATTTTTTTTTTACAGAGAGGAAGGGAGAGGGATAGAGAGCTAGAAACATAGATGAGAAAGAAACATCAACCAGTTGCCTCCTGCACACCCCCTACCAGGGATGTGCCCACAACCAAGGTACATGCCCTTGACCAGAATCAAATCTCAGTCCGCAGGCCTACGCTCTATCCACTGAGCCAAACCAGTTTCGGCTATTCGGATCTTTTTTAACAATTCTCCCTCTCTTTCACATATAGTGATTTTTGCCTTTGAAAGGTCCTTCCTAGTTTGTAATTTTATTTTTATCATAGCACTCAGATAAATAGAACAGGCCTTATTGTTCCCCTTTTGACAGAGGAGTAAACTGAGCTATAGAAAGGTTTAATACCTTGTTCAAGATCAGAGATAATGCGAGATTACACACCTCTAAGCATTAGAAACCTATTACCTGTTTGAGATTCTAAAATGTTTTTCAGCTCTAGCTGGTTTGGCTCAGTGGATAAACATTGGCCTGCGGATTGAAGGGTCCCAGATTCGATTCTGGTCAAGGGCACATACCTTAATTGCAGGGGTTGTAGGCTACTGGCCCTGGTTAGGATGTTTGCGGGAGGCAACCAATCAATGTCTCTCTCTCACATTGGTGTTTCTCTGTCTCTCCCTCTCCCTTCCACTCTAAAAAAAATCAATAAAAAAAATGTCCTCAGGTGATGATTTAAAATAAAATGTTTTTCTAATAGATCACATTATAATTAGTGTTCCCAGGTAAGCCAAGTGATGCAGCACTGATCTAAAGTGGCCTATGTATGCACATGTATGAAATGATTTTATGTCAGCTTTGATTAATGAGATTAATAAAAGTGTATATCAGGCAACATTGTAATAGCAAAATACTGGAAATCTGAATAGATTGTCTGGATAACTAGATATGGGTATAGATAAAAAATGTTATATTCATACCATAGCATATAGGCAGTTTTAAAAGGAATAAACCATATCTACATCAGCATGGATTTCAAAAACATATTGAGTGAAAACTAAAGATATAAAGACATAGATTCCTTTTTTAAATATATGCTCACAGATAACTATTACCCATCCATTCCTTTTTAGGGGGAAGTGGGGTGTTAAAGTTTAAAAAAATGTCCATCAACTCCATCAAAGTGGAATTGGAATAAGACTAAGGGTGGTGGTTTAAACGGACTTCGTTTTATAAAGAAGCTAATATAGAAACAAAGTTTAATTCTGAGTAGTGGGGAATAGATTCATTTTTCATTACTACTTTGTATCTTTTAAAAAAATTTTCTCAAAAGAAAATAAGCAACTCCTGACTTTAAAATCTATTGGAGAAAGAGAGCAGCATAGGGCAAATAGCAGGGATTATCCTATATATCATTGAATGTATTCTACACTATTGCTTTTCCTTTATTAGAAACTGTTTAATTTTAAAGTTTCAAATTTATTGTTTATAAGCTTTTTAATTGAAATTGTAATTTTTTAGTAACATATTTAAAGATAGAATCAATTAAAGGGATGTCCATTCATTTAAGTATTTTTCCTACCATCAACCATAAAACTTAAATTTAAGTCTCCTTACTGTAAACCCACTGGTTTATTGCAGCTGACCCGCCCCCATACATTGATGGGATTCGAATTAACAGCCCTCATTATTTGACTAAGATAAAGCTGACCACACCTGGGACCCATACCTTTACATTAGTGGTTTCTCAGTATGAAAAACAGAATACAATCCATTACACAGTCCGGGTAAGTAACCAACATACAGTGGCAAAACAATAATATAAAGTATATTATGTGCTCTGCTTTGTAAGTGGGATTCATCTACAGAAAAAGTTTATGAAAATTATTACCTATGTATTTTTATGTGTATGTGTATCAATTCAATATTAAGTTATGTTTCTTGTATAACATAATGCTTTTGAAAAGTAATCTTTTAATTTTGCATAACATTTTTAATGAGCTCCTCCCCCCCCCCCCCCCCCCCCCCAGTAATAGTTTAGTCCTGAAGTAATGTGGTACACAGGACTAATAAATTTACAGAGCAAGCAATAGAAATTCCTTTAGCCTACATAATACCTTTGTTGACTTGAAAAGATGCTGAATTTAATGAAAGGGAATTGATTGCCTATAAACATTGCTAATACAAGTTGGGAAGATCATTGTAATTTTGTTCTGCATAGATATGTATGCCATAGAGATCAGTAAAGAAATTCACTTTGAATAGATTTTTTGTGATGAAAGCAACATTGGGGAGCTACCTTCACTCTTCAGATGCAGAAGACAAGGCCTACAGAAATTGTGATTTGGCCTGAGAAAGTGAATACCAGATTTCCCTAGCTTCATTAAACCAGTCTTGATTCCAGGCTGCCTACAGAATGACTCTTATATGTGCCAACTAATTTTTTTAGCCTTCCTATATTATTTTATCACTTTGGTATTTTTATAAGTATAAACTTTATCAGTATTTTTTCATCTAGGTATATTCAGCATGCAGCTTTACTTTTTCAAAGATTCCTTCACCATACACCTTATCAAAGCAGGTAAGAGAAATGTCTCTTGGTCATGATCTCAGAGAAATCTTAGAATTCCCTTTTTCTGTTTTCATTCTTCACATTTAATAATTTTTTACAAAATAAAACAGTACAGAGGAATAAGGGAAATGTAAATAGCCTCTATCTAATCTGGAATACAAGATCTTCAATGATCAACATTAAGTGATTCTGTGGGCAGAAATAAGAAATTGATAGGAAGATTACTGTAAACCTTTGTCATTAGGCAAAGCCATGTGGATGAACTTCTTAAATTGAGGGTTGACTTTACAGGGTGAGCTCGACGTATAGAGGATGTGAGGGAGAATTACTGGCAGGAAGAACAACTTGGTTTAAAGCTGAGAGATGGAGATAGTGCTTAGTGCTTAGTTTCACAAAGTAGCCTGGCTGAAATGAAGAGTGATGTTGACTGTCGTGAGTGACAAAGACTGGGGAGAGAGGGTGGAGCCAGAGTGGGGAGTTGCCATCTTTGAGGAGATATGGGGGAGTGTGAAGGTGCTTTGTCTTTAACATAGAATTGGAGAATGTGAAGTTTTGTTCATGCAAAAACTTTGTTTTGTTAGATTCATGGAAAGTGGAGCGGTCAGAGTGCTGGAGGATGTGCAAATTTCCAAGAGACTCATAGAAATAATCCCATTTACCAATTCCATATAGAAAAGACTGGGCCATTACTAATTGAACTAAGAGGACCAAGGTTTGTGATGAGTAACTTTCTTAATGTTATATTAAAATGAGCTTTGTAGAACAGAATAGGGTTTTGAAACAGACCTGTGCATGTTTGATTTATGTTAAAGATGCTATTGCATAGGGTGGGAAAAAAGATACTCTGTTCAATAAGTGGTGCTGAAATAATTGAGTATCCATGTACCAAAATGGTAATTAAGACTCCTGTCTCATATCAGATTGCAAAATCAGTTCCAGGTAGATTACTAATATAGGAGATACCTTAATAAAAATATTTTTACATGTTCTACATTAGTGGGGGAAAAGTCTACAGTTTTTGTTTTTTTAATAAAACTTGAACAAGCATGTCATAAAAAAGATAATCCAATTGGCCAATAAACCATTGTAAGCCAAAAATTTGAAACAGCCCAGATGTACATTAGTGGCATTTAAGATTATAAAATAGTCCTACATAACAATGAAAATAAATTATAGCGACCCACTACATGATGGAAAAGTCTTAAAAAACAGAAGCCAAACATAACAATATATATTACATGATTCCACTTACATGAAGTCAAGAACAGGCAAAATTAAACTGTGGTTTAAGGGTGCACACTTGGATAGTCACGCTATATACAAAGCAAGAAAGTGCAAGTTTTGTGGGCACAGGCATTGTGATGAGAAAGTTGGATACAAGGACTTCAGTGGTGCTGAGGTTCTGTTGATTTAGGCGGTGGTAACCTAGGTATTTGTTCACTTTACAAATTATTTGTTTTATGTCATTGTGATATATTTTACAATTTTAAGAGGTTTAAAAAGTAGAGAATACAAATTTAAAAATAGTATTTCTAAGTAAAAATAGGCTTAATTGTGCCTACTTTACAAACAAATTCAAAAGAAACTAATAACCCTTAACCTGTTTGGCTCAGTGAATAGATCGTCGGCCTGCAGACTCAATGGTCCAGGTTTGATTCTGGTCAAGGGCATGTTCCTTGGTTGTGGGCACATCCCCAGTAGGGGGTGTGCAGGAAGCAGCTGATTGATGTTTCTAGCTCCCTCTCCCTTCCTCTAGGTAAAAAAATCAAAATTAAGAAAGAAAAAGAAAGAAACTAATAATCCTAATAGGACTAAGCTACTTTTCACAATCATTTTAAAAATCTTTATCAGTCTTCTAGGTGATATAAGGTATCTAATTACCCTTTTGTATTTAATTTTTAGATAGATTGAACATGTAAAAATACTTGACAATGTGTATTTTTTCCTATTTTGCTAATTCATGTCTTGCCCATTTTTTTTGTTGGAGTTGTCATGTTTTTAATAGGGTTCATTTGTAAGAACATTAACTCCTTCATATATTTGCAAGTATTTTTGCCAGATAAATTTTTTCATAGGAAAAAAAGCTTATTTTAAAGTAATCAGCCTTTTCTAGTTTATTTTGCTGTGGGCAGGAAATTTCACCCCAATAGTAAATTAATTTTCACCGTATTTTCTTCGGGTTCTTTTATGTTTTTATTTTTTACATTATACTTTCTAATCCACATGGAATGTATTTTTATATTTGGTGTGAGATACAATTCAACAACTTTTTATCACCACCTAAATAATACTTCCTTTCCCTACTGATTTGGAATGCCATGTCTCCCATATGCTAATTACTTTCTTAAATTTAGATTTTTTTCAGGGTCTTCTCTCCTGTCCCACTCGTTCTGCCTAATACAATGACAGTATTTTTATCATTTCAATTTAACATTATTACCTGGGAGCCTATAGTAAAATGTAGTCTCTCTTAAAATAAGTTTAATGTGTTAATCTTTATGGCTGCAGTTTTTAAATAGAAATGGTGTTTTCTATCATTAGTGTAAAAATAGTATGCGTTTCAGTGTTGTTTCTTCCTCCTGAAGCTTTAGAAAGCCTGTACTTGATTTTAATAGTACATCTGCACTTGAGATATACTTATTTTTAGGTATGTATTTGAAGACTATTTAGCAGTAATTCTGTTTCTTTTTACTGCTAGGCAGTATAGTGTTGGATTTGAAGTTGTAACAGTGTCTATGGTGGGAGATCCTGGTCCCCATGGCTTTCAGAGGAAATCTAGTGGTGACTACAGGTAAGGTTGGCATTTGATTATATTTTATACTCTGCTTATTGTGGCATCTTCTGTAAGCCTTGTTTTTATTTTCCCTAAATACAGGTGTGGGTTTTGCTACCTGGAATTCGAAAATATACCTGCTGGGATTTACAATATCATTCCCAGTACATTTTTGCCTAAACAAGACGGACCTTTTTTCTTGGACTTTAATAGTATTATTCCCATCAAGACAACACAGCTTCAGTGATGGGGAAATTGCCGCACTTACTGGATTTTATACTTACCAAACAATCAACTCTTCAAATGAGGATACAAATCTGCAGGACACTAAACAGTAAGAACAGAATTAATTCTCCAAAAATGTTACAATGGAATCCGGTGCCCAAGGCAGAGTGTTTAGTGAGAATTGTATATAGACAGAATTACCATAAATTACTTTAGGAGTACCATTTACATGGTTTTGTGTATCTGTGAATTGGCTTGCATTTATAAGGGGCCACAGTGTATTTTAAAAGTGCAGATAATTAAAGCTTATACTCAATCACACTGTGATGTGATTTTGCTAAGAGGGAATTGAGACCAGATGAGGAACATAGACTCATTGAATGGAATGGTAGGCTGGTATAATCTCAACTATCTACATTGTCTTTCTGGCAGAGCATGTTGTAAGGTAAGACCTGCTTGTGTTGTGACTCTACTGTGCATCTTGGGCAACTAATTACCAAATGAATTAAAGTCACCATTACAGATTTTAATTCTGCATTGCTTATGACTTTAAATGTTTGTGGCCCAGACGTTATGAAAGAATAAAGCTTTAAGAATTACTTATTAGCTTAGCATGAAGATGCTCATGCTTAGGAGTAAAGGTTGTTATAGTACCTGTCTCCCATTGAATCATGTAAAGAGAACTGAAGTATATGTATTCGCTGTTGCAGTCATTTTTTTATCAGGTTAACGAAAGTAGTAGTCTGAGACATTGAAGACATCACTGTTTAGTTGGTACTTTTTAATTGCTCTCTAGTTCAGTGCTCTTAATGGTAACAGCACTCTGAAGAAAATACAATTGAGAATTTAATATATTTTAATTGGGATTGCATTCGGGGAAATTGCCAAGATACTAATGTCTTGTGTATAAATTCCCAGTTGTTTACATAAAAATCCATCAGAGCAGAATGATGCTCAAGATTTTAAAGATCTGAAAATAAGGTGGTATTTTACATCATCTCTTATAATTACCAAACTTATTTTGTATTTGATACCTTTAATTGAAATAAAATGTTTATACTTACAGAAACTGTATAGTTTAACCGAGAGAAATTTGATTATTAAAGGACTTCATCAAGTATGTTCCATGTAAAAAAGAAAAACTCATTATTTGCTTAAAAAATCTTCTTTATAATTCAGGACAGTGGTAGATTATTATACTAGTGAGAATTCTCTTTGGTAAATATATGTTTAAAATAAAGGCCATAGAAAATTATATGTAATTTGAACTTGTGTTAATTCAGTTTGCATCATGTAATTCTTTAAGTTCTAATCCCTGCCCTCAAAAATAATCTAATGGAGGAGACCTGTTTATGAGCAAGTTCATGTACTGTAATGTTTAATTCTATAAGAGATCTCCAAACACAGTGCTATAGATGTATAGAAGGGAAATTATTCATTTTGGCTAGAACAAATAGAATCAGCTAGGGAGCTTTTAAAAATCTAATGCCCAAGCATACCCCAACAATTAAATCAAATCTCTAGGGTTCAGACCAGAGAAGTTTTTTAAGCTTTCTAGGAAAACCTAATGTGCAGCAGAGGTTGAGAATCACTTTTCCAATATAACCACCTTGTCCCCTAATAGCTCAGATTTGTAGCGGCAAAAGTACAATAGAATTCAAACCTTTGTAAATGGAGGTTTAATTGGAAAGAACAGATGACCACTTTATTCCATGCTCTTCCTATGGCAAGAAATTTACCTACAAGACTTAGACAAAATAAGGATTTCTCATTTGAAGTCATAGCAAGTTAAGACATTTTCTTAAGTGGTTTTTATTACACTCAAGGTATTAAGACGAGTACAAAATAACCTTGTAATTAAGATACTGTATCAGTCATTAAAAAAGGAGAAAACACGACAGTATGAAGAGATTTACAAATGACTAAAATATACAAGATGTGACAGAATTAATGAACAGTTTGAAATGGGGTTGCTTCTTTCCTTTTAAAAATGCCAAGTTTTCTTAAAACCAATAAAATACAATGCTCTTTAATGTTTTCAAGGTTACACATATTTAAGAAAAGCAGTCTTAACTATTAGAATAAACAGACTCCATTGCATCTATTTAACAGCCTTTGCCAACACATGCCTACTCCCTTTCCTAGCTTTGAGAATTTCCTCTAAGAAATACTAGTGTAGCATAACCCTTAAATAATTTTAAAGTTACAACCTACAGAGAAATTAACACCTTGTCAACCATTCTTCACATGCACTTCTCAGAATAAGCCCCCTTGGCTGGTAGAATAAGGTTTACATACAACCTTTTCTTCCCCAGCCACAAATCTCTCTGATATGTCCTTGCTACCCTCACCTCCCCGACCCCCCATCCCAACATTGGCATTCACTTTTCCCACCCCAAAAAGTGCAGTTCATAGTAACCTTTATAGAAAATGGTTTTAATGGGTGTTTTAACTACTTTAAAAAAAAAGCCCCTTTTAAACATCAGAGATGATAAAAATGAATTATGTTCTTGGGGTTTTTTTTAAGCCTTCACTGACTGAGTCAAAAAGGTATGTTCTGAATTTTGTCTTGCATTAGCTACCCTAAGATATAAAAGGAAAGACCATCTCTATTTTCCCAAATGGGGGGTGAGAGAAGCAAGCTGTTGACCACAGCTGGGCTCAGCTTCCCAGCTCCTTTCCTGCTCAGGTTCTTTTGTGGGAACTAGTTATTGCTTCCATAACACTGTTTCAGTTAACGTTCCACCAAGACTGTGCCCTGGTCACAGTCCACCCGCGGCAACAACTCTGCTCTGAAAACAAACCAGCCCCAGAGCTCTTACCAGAGGAAAAGTCTTCGGCTTTACGGTCTCTGAAGCCTCACTAGTGCAGTTCAGAGTAAACACTTACGATTTGGCATATATTAAAGGGTTATTGGCACAGCGTTCTCCAATCAGTTTCTCATATAAATAGCGATGTGCACTGGGGCTAGGATCTTGGTTGGATCAGCCGATCTGCACCATTTTTCTGTCAGCCATAATCCCGTCTCGACCCTTTGCGCACTGGAGGGAGAGTTGCTTCATCCTGTTGGCCAAGGCCTGGCCCTCAGGGGGGGTGCTGCTCTGGTTCTTGCCACCGTCACTGCTGCTGTTGCTAAGACTCCGATTGTTGTTGGCTTTGTCACTTGTTTTATTCTCTGCCCCTTCTGCTCTGTCTCCTATAGAAAGATAAAGATTAAGTGACTCTTGGAATAGTCAATGCTCACTTAGGCCCAAACTAATCAGCCAACTTAACCCTCTGGAATTTCCCAGTGTTGCCCAACACGTATATATAACAGAGGGTTCTCCATCATATAGCTTTTATTCCTCAGAGCGTTTTCTATTTTCCTTATTTTTAGAGATGAAAATTGTCATACTCGTTTAATAGCTGGGAAACAAACCTCTAGCATGTGTTTGTCAAGAGGACTGTTGTGATGAGAGACAACCCACGCTATGGAGCCAGAAGTCCCCAGAACAGGACTTGGAGAATATCTCAGTGGTAAACACCGACAGCACATTCACACAGGCCTGGGGGCTCCAAGACCTGGCCATGGTCTAGAACAAGGTCTAGGACAGTGCAGAGACCTGGCTGCAAAGGCAGTGAGTCTCCCGGAACAGCACTCCTGGTGAGAGGGCTGCAACTCACCTCGTTCCACCTCACACTCCGGGGAGGAGGCCCCACTGCATTCACTGCGAGGGCCTAGCACAGGGAACATCACCCCAAACTCTGACAGGGACACGGGGCTGGGCAGATCCAGGCTGCCGGGCCTCACAACTGCAGAAAACTGGTCGGCCATCCCAGATGGGCTCGTGGGTCCCGAACTAAAGCTGGACACAGACTGGGTCTCCGAGTCATCTTCAGACACAAAGTTGCTGCAGTTGTCATCTTCAAAGGCCTCGGAGGCCACTGGGATGAGAGAGAGAACACCAGTTACGCAGGTTCTGATAGCAGCCTAATTTCTTACAAACTTCCAGAAGTGTTTGCTGCTACAGACAGCTAGACACAGCACGGGGGCTGCAGAATCCCTGCCACTGTGGGTGCCTAATAAAAGGAACGTGACCTGAGCATGCACTACCAGACTAAAGCAGCCGGATTCCATGCATGTTCAATGTCCTTGCAGTAATGTCGTAGCCTGTGTGTGCCCTACAAGTTAGTGTCGGTAGAGACTGTCTAAAGGCAGATGAATTCAGCCACAGATCAGGGACTTTTCTCCACCCCAGCCCTCAAATAGATTTTCACGTGCACAGGCAGGGGGCAGGGCTGGCTGGCCCTTTGTAAAGGATCCACAACAGAAGCAGGAGCCGCTGGGAGAAACAGCCCTGCTTGGACCTTTGTTGTCTTCCAGTGACTTGTGATCTCAAAAGACATGCTCAGAGCCTACCTCGGTCACAGTTTGCCACAGAAGAAAATTCCTTCCCGGCACTCTGTAATTTCACTTTTAGACCAGAAGAACCAAGGCCCAGAGACATGTCATTGTCATGGTTTGAAAGCCACTTCAGCCTTTTAACTAGTTCCCTCGGCCTGCACATAATCCTGCTGATTAGGTTTTTCCTCTTCTCCCCTTTCTTCCTCCCTCATCTTTAAAAACAGCCTTGTAGCATCCCATAGATGATTACCATAAATGAGAAATACTGAAATGTTGGGGGCAAAAGGAACTCAAACTTGATTCCCAATCCTATTTCCACTATTTGTTGTATAGCCTTGGTCAAGTTACTTAACCCCTCCGAGCTTCACATTCCTCCCCACAGAGGATAAATAAGATGATGTATATCAAAGTCCTCATATTGTTGATTCTCAGATTATAGTTTCCTCTTCCTTTACTTGGATGTTTATTGGGAAAGGAGCCTGGGAAAGAGCCACCAGAGACCATTGCACGGAAGAGGAATGTGCAAAGACGGTGTTGGAGAGTTTTCATGGTTAACATAGAGGGAGCCACACCAAACCTAATAGCCGTTTTCCTGGGAAAGGGCTCTCTCTGGTCAGACACCAGGGACAGACACCACTCTACAGTAGTGAGTAGGTACTCCCATACTCCCCATTCTGCAGCTGAAGAAACAGATATAAACATGAATCCTTGCCTGCATCGTGTGCTAGTAATGATGGGAAGGTGAGCATTTGAATCAAACCTAAGCCCCTGTTCTTAGCTCTTCTTTCCTGCAGTGCTTCTCAGACCCTTGTTATTGTTCTAGTATATGCACTTTGAACCTCAGAGTGAACATAAGACATTTTCCCAAACTTATTTGACCATAGAATCCTGATTTTGAGGAACACTCAGTAGCAACTTGATGAACAACAGGGTTCCACAAAATGTGGTAAGTCACCAGTAAGAGCCCTGGGTCCCACCCAAGTGAGGCCCTTCTGAGGTGGTGGTGACACCGCCGTAAGCCGACCACACAACTTGCACACAAGCCCCCGACTCACCGGAAACGGCATCTGGCTCGGGTTTGCGCTCGGACAGGTCCTCTGCGGAGGCGCTGCTGCCCTCGGCCCCCACGCCGCAGCCCCGAGGCCCCATGGCGCTGGAGCGCCGCCGCTCATGTATCTCGTCCGAGATCATCTCCAGGTTCTTCAGGGCCGTCTTGTACTCGCCTTTTGCCAGGGCCAGTTTGGCCTGCAGGTCGTCCACGGTCTTCTTCAGTTGCTGGTCAGGAGAACAGGAGGCTCAGTGAGTGAAGGCTGCCCCTCCTGGCCTGGTGATGCCCAAGCATGTCTTCTGTCCTTCACTCCAAGACATGACTGAAAACCTAATTATTCTTATCAAAGCTGTCCATGTACCAGATATAAAAGCAGACTCTACCACTCCCAACTGGGTAACAAACAAGTTCCATATCCAGAAACTACCACTGGTAGGACAAACCCAATCAGAAACAACAGTGGGTGTCAAATTCACACACAAGTCCCACATGCTAGCCATTTGGTCCCCAGCACTGTGGTTCCCCAACTTGTATCAGAATACCCTGGAGGGCTCCATTCACAGTGGGAGGGGAGGGAGGACTACTTGACAATTGTTACTTCTAACAAGTTCCCTAGCAATGCTGATGTTGCTGGTCCTAGGAGCATACTGAGAACCAAAGCCCAGAACAATATATTGTAGAAAGTGACTAATCAGCCCCTGACCAGTTTGGCTCAGTGGATAGAGCGTCGGCCTGCGGACTGAAAGGTCACAGGTTCGATTCCGGTCAAGGGCATGTACCTCGGTTGCGGGCACATCCCTGGTATGGGGTGTGCAGGAGGCAGCTGATCAGTGTTTCTCTTTCGTCGATGTTTCTAACTCTATCCCTCTCCCTTCCTCTCTGTAAAAAAATCAAAATATATTCTTTAAAAAAAGGAAGTGACTAATCAGCATATGTAGAGAACACCACTCAAGATCATTTAGAGGCTTGAAAACTCAGTAAAGAATGTCTCTCCACTCTTCTCTTGCAGCATTGAGGTATTTGGAAGTATCACAAAAAGCAGGGCTTTGCATAAAAATCCCATCACCAACAAAGCCAAAGGCCACACATACCTCGAGCTGCATGTAGTACTTTGCCTTGAGTTCAAAATAAGGCCTGTGAAAAAAAGAAAAAATGAGTAATATAACACAATGCCCACTAATAAACTCCAATCAAGTGTGTGAGGCTAGGTCTTCCTTCCAGGATTTAGTAAACTGACGAGGCCGTGAGCTGAAGGTGGTGCTCCCAGCTCTGGGGCCTGATGGATACAGATGCCTGAGGCACGGTGCTCACTCAAGATTTGGGGAACCCACACAGGTACACGTATCCTGGAGCCCCTGCACCCTGATTCACTTTCCTCTCTGGGGAGGCTGTTCAAGGTCACAGATTGTGCCCTGCAGCTAATGTGGCCTGGGTCTCTTCTAAGGAGGTGGACTCCCCAGGAATGACCAGCAGATAAGGCTGGAGAAGGGGCTGCCTCAAAACACACCTTCTGCTAAAAGCTGGGGAAGGGGGAAGCACCAGGCCTACCCTGACCACAGCAGAGCCACCGGAAGGATGGGCTCAAGTTGGTCCCCTTGGGCTTTGTCCAGGAGAGAAGTATGAGGTGGTCTATAGACCCAACCAGGTCATGGGCAAGAGCGAGAACAAGAAACACAAACATGATACTAGTCTAAGGTGACCAGACGTCCCAATTTTAACAGTTTGTCCCGCATCCCACGGCGTTTCAAAAAGGTCCCGGTTTTTGGAAAGAAAAGGCCCTCACCCCCAGACTCACTTGGATTTGTTGATGGCTCTCTTGAGCTTCTTCTCCAGCTGCCGCATGCGGCCCATGGCCGCGTTGTACCTGGCTGCCGTCTCCTTGTGCACAAGCTCGCTCCTTGTCTTGGTGTGCTCCGCCTCCATGACCTTCAAACAACAGAAGAGGTCAACTCAGCCACGCCCAGAACAGTCCCTTGTTGGGGTATTATATCATTTTTTAAAAAATACTGAGTAAGCCAAAACCGGTTTGGCTCAGTGGTAGAGCGTCGGTCTGCAAACTGAAAAAATACTGAGTAGCCGGGACCGGTTTGGCTCAGTGGATAGAGCGTCGGCCTGCGGACTGAAAGGTCCCGGGTTTGATTCCAGTCAAGGGCATGTACCTGGTTGCAGGTACATCCCCAGTAGGGGGTATGCAAGAGGCAGCTGATCGATGATTCTCTCGCATCGATGTTTCTAACTCTCTATCCCTCTCTCTTCCTCTCTGTGAAAAATCAAACATATATTTTTAAAAAGTACTCTGAGTAAATTAACGGGCAGACTAAGAAACTACCTTCTAGAATAGGATTACTTCATCCTATTCTATTTTGGAGAAGTCTTTTGTCAAGTAGGATTAAATAGCCAAATTGGCTGTGGCAATGACTGAGAAAGAAAACAAGGAAAAGCAAAACTAAAATAAAAATGAAGCATTCTCTGATTCAATCAATATCCACTTCCTTCTGCTCAGGCCTCCTGGGTCGAAGTATTATAGTTTGGGGCAGGCAAGTAGGCAAATAGCACCAGTGGGATCTTAGACATCAAAGAACTGGGATATCTAGCAAAAGCAGGCATGACAGCATCAGGACAAAGCCATTATCCTTGCTGCCCAGGATAATTATGAAGTGTCGGGAAAATGTATGAAAGACTGGAGTGAGCATGAAAAGTTACTGAGTGTCCTGTCTAGCCCTGTCCTGTCCCAGGTCATCTCCAGCCCTCATTGTCCTGGAGCTATTGTATGACCCTGTTAAGTTATAGAAAAATTGATAGTATTACAAATTATTCTTATTCCAAGAAATGAAGGTGAATTCTGTCCCAGTGGAGGTGCATTTGATAATACTGATTACCCTGTAAATATTTACCAATTTTGCATCAGTTTAAAAATCTGTTTCTGCATCCCTGGTTTTCTACATGAATGTATGTTTATTGAATTCTCCTTTGAAATAGTTGTAACATCTTACTAGTTCCCTCCTTAGTTAATAAATTAAAATCTTTGACACAGGAACATATTATATTTATCAGAGTTTTGCTTTTACTTTCTTTAAAATGCCTTTTCACAAAGGTTTCAATGCTTGAGATACTTTTTAAAACAACAGAATTAAAACAAAGCCAGAGAAGGGAACTGAGCTAAGCTAACATGCAGTGACATCCTTGCTAAAATGATTTCTCAACCAAGACCATCCTTTCTCTTTGCTTCTAACACCAAAGACTTCACAAAGAAATAAGATGCACTAAAGACATTCCATACTTGGACACACTCTTGTCTTCCATCTTAGGCTCTCGGGATTTACTGGTGTAACTCTTAATGAGAACTCAAAACCCCAAGCTTCTCAGACAGAACACAACACACTGGGGGTGAGCTGTTCCATTTCGGAAGATTTCAATGCAGGGTTCACCGGTAAGGAGGTAAGTATTTTAAACTGACATAGAAAAGCTTCAATTGGAAGCTACTGTACAGGGTTCTCACCAGCTGCACACAGTGTCCTTGTCTATTTCAGCCCTAAATCAAAAGGGTTTTTTCTAACATTAAACACTCCGAAAGTTCCAAGCCCTTGGAAATATTACCAGTGAAGACTGAGGGGTACAAAGGGGACACACTGATGGCCTCGGGCAAGGAACGTGGGGACCCTAGTGTTCTCCCACCGTGCCTGAGGGGGGTGGGGATCAGGTAGCCCAAACCACTGCCAATCCCTCAAGACAGCCGGGGACCCGAGTCTGGATCTTTCTCTAGACCCTTGATGAGTACTTTCCGTAGAAGAGGGGTGACATGACGCCCCCTTCTCCTAAAGAAACAGGCTTCCCAGCGTATCCACAGGTCAGACAGGACAGGAGACATATCCCAGACCCTTCATGGTCTCATCCAGCAGTGTTCAGCCAGCCGAGCGTGCCAGGCCCCCAAAGAGGAGGGGGCAGGAGTTCTACCTGGGAAGATGCTAAATCCAGAGGGAGGCTGGCAGCCACGCCACTCACAGAGCAGCTGCCCGTCAGTCCGATTCAGGGAGCACGGCCCCTGTGAGCTGAGTTTCTCCGTGACCCAGGACTGCGGCCGGGGAAAGCTTGGCCACCAGCTCTGTCTCTTGCTGGTGTCAGTTGTGAACTCTCCCTCTCCATCAGCAGTTCAAGCAGCAACCTTACAGGCCACTGGGAAGAGGACCAGCAGCCAAGGCGAAACCCTGGCCTGTGACCCAGACACCTGTTCATCTGCAGTGGTTACCCCCTCAACCAAGGAACCTCCAGTGGCCGCAGGGGGGCACCCATCAGGAGCCCTACCTAACGGGAGGCCAGAGAAGTCTGACCCAGCCCCACAAGTCGCTCACTGCACCATCCCAAGCAGCACCATTCCCACGGGGGAAGGAGTTGTGTAACATGGGTGTCCAGGAGACACCTCCTTGTGGTACAGCCACTCACCATCCACTAGGCCCCAGGTCTTACTAAGGGAACAAAAAAGGCAGAAACGTGTTTTGTTCTTTTTAAAGAGCAGATCAAGTGATTTCTGAAATGGTTTCTTCTGGCTAGTTTGAATCTTCGGTGGGGGGTGGAGTGAGGGCAAGAAGGAAAGGCGAGCCCTGGCCCATTTTGCTCAGTGGATAGAGCATTGGCCTGCGGACTGATGGGGCCCAGGTTCGATTCCAGTCAAAAGCACACGCCTGGGTTGCGGGCTTAATCCCCAGTGTAGGGCATGCAGGAGACAGCTGGTGAATGATTCTCTCTCATTGATGTTTCTATCTCTCTCCCTCTCTCTTCCTCTCTGAAATCAATAAAAAAAAATATATTTTATTTTTAAAGAGGAAAAGAAGATGACCTCCAGCTAATTTGTTGGGAGGAGTTGAGAGAGAGAGAGAGAGAGAGAGAGAGAGAGAGAGAGAGAGAGAGAGACCTTTTCATATCTTTCAGCCTGTGGCTTGTAAATTTCCAAGATTTCCAACCTCTGTTTTGGGTTTTATCAGCTGACCCCGGAAAGCTGTTCAGGTCTGTGTCTGGCTCTCTGAGCATCGTGTCCACTAGGGGGCAGGAGGCCCAAGGCTACACACGCCCAGCCAGCTTTTTTTTAAGGAAAAAAAAGGAAACACCAGGCCATCTTTAGTTATCAGGTCCCCGGCACTTGAACCACTGTGACAAGTGACCCTGAAAAGGGAGAGGCTGCTGGCATTCACTCCTGGCTTTCTCTGTTCCTGCCTGGCACTCTCAGAGAGCGGTGTTAGGCCGCATGCCTGGGAGCCTGTTTCCTCTGTGTGGGGACACAGCACCCGCAGAACTCACCAGAACCAGGGGCCAGTCCGCATGGGAGAAACGCTCCCACACACATCCACGGGCGTACAGCACCCCTCAAGGGGCCACCCCCACACACACGGGCGCTCACAGACAGGGACGCCCAGGTCCCCCTCCCGCGGCTCACACGGCTGTGACTCACCCTCTGGGTGGCGTGATTCAGCATCTCCTGCCAGGCCGAGTCGAACTGCCGCTTGTCGTCCTCGAGCAGCCGCTGCTCGGCCAGGGAAATGGTCTCCTTGGCGGCACGGAGCACCTCGGTGGCCCTCTGGAAGTCCTGCGTGGCCTTCTGCGCCTCCAGCTGAGCCTGGTGAGAGAGTGCCCCCGTGAGCCCTCAGGACAGCAGGGCTCCCGCTGGCCCCTCTCAGCCTCCCAAAGGAGAGGCCGGGAGCAGGCCTGGCCCCTGCGGGTCCTTTTGATAAATGCCGGCTGGGCCGGTGAATGGACAATGTCCACAGCCCAGAACCCAGCAGACCAGATACACATGCCAAACTCCGGTCAGAGTCAGAGATGGCAAACCAGCCCCTCGGACGGCAGGCATGGCCACCCAGGGCCTGTCATAGAGTAGTTCTCATTTGCTAATAATGCCAAAGGGAGTGCGGTGGTCCCCAACCCCGTCCCTGCCCAGATCGGGGGCTCCATTCACAGCATGGCACGCAGGAAGTTCCCCAGAGGATCGCACACTGACGGCTCCATCCTAAGGTGGGGACCGTGGTGAAATGCAGGCCTTCCCGGGCTCACAAAGCTGGTGAGAAGCAGAGCTGTGACCAGACCCTGCGAGACCCACCCAGCGCTGTCACTCGGCCAGACAGGCCCCCACCCAATTCACCCTCATTTTCAGGGAACATCAAGTGGGAGAATCAACAGACACGGCAGCTGACCACATGGGGCTACCACCAGCCACAAGCGGCTTCAAGCGTTAGGAATGTCATCAATCCAAAATGAGCGTAAAACACCCAAGTTGTAAAGACTTGTTACTACAAAAAAATTATAACTATCGTCTTCATAATAACCATGTGGATTCCATGATGTAACAACGTTTTGGATATCCTGGGTTAAATAAAATACACTATTTCTACTTTTTCTTTTTCTTTTTTTCTTTTCTTTTCTTTTTTTTAACTGAGGATACCAGAAAGTGTGAAATGACATAGCGGACTCGCATTCTATTTCTTTGTAGACCAGACATGCCTCCTTCAAGAGAGGACCATGTGATCGCACCGGTACTCAACAACACAGCCTCAGGTCACTGCCCTCGCAGGCAGAGCATGGGCAAGACATTGCCAAATGCTGCCCCCACCACCACCACCCATCAGTCAATGTTACATACACTTGGGGGACACCCACAGGGCAGTCCCTGGGACTGCGAAGGGGAACAACAAGGCCCCCACAAATCGTCAAAGTCTCACATGACTTAGAGGAAGTCTTCAGAGACCACAGGCTGAGGACACTTTCTGAGACGGTTGCGTGGAGCCCATCGGCCCCAGGCAAGGCATAGCTTTGTGACCCCCTGGGTGCCACACTCCATCCCTCACTGAACACAGCCTTGGCACCACACCTGCCCTCCCAGGCAATGACAACATGGTTGGGGAGCCGACACCACACCGTAACAAGGTGCCAGGGAAAGAGGGAAACGTGTAGTGAGGGGATGTGAAGGAGAAACTTTCCAGTAGAGGAATTGAGGACGGCTTCCTTCAAGGAGGATGGTCCTGAACTGAGGACTAAAGGGCAGGGTGATTTGAAAATGGGGGTAGGAGGGCCAAAAAGGAAATAGTATTATGAAACACAGTATCTGCAGGAGACTTGACAAAGCAATTTCAGAAAGGAATCAAGAGGGAAGGCCTAGAATGAATGCCAGGCTAACGCTTCCACCAGTGGCCCAGAGACCTGCCTGCTGTGGACACCTGTGTGCCCTGGACCACACATCCACGGAGGTTGCCTCAGCCACACAGTGGGGACAAGGGCCTGCTCTCCATAGAACTCACCAACCCACCGAGGAGGGACAAGACACAGGACGTGCTCTCTGCAACACAACTCGCTGCTCCAGGCCCCGTGCCTCCGGGCCCATCCACGGTTCTCCCCCATGAGGGCAGCTCTCCTGGGGTCTCCATTTGCCCGGATGTGATGGGGGAAGAGGAAGCACGGGGACCTGTCACTTAAGAGCTGCCCCCACCCTGCACCACCAACTGCCTACAGGCTCAGACCAACACCAGCCACAATAACGCATCCCACAGGATTCTAGCATTTTCTAAAGAGGGATTTGAATATGTTCTTAAGGAAATTTTAGTATTTCAGTTCGTCAACATTCAGTTCATCGCCGGGTCACCCTGCTTGAATGATGAAGCTTTTCTTTTCTCAAATAAAAAAAGAGAAGCCCTCATGGGAACCTTCAGAAATGTGGCTGCCCTGCCAGAGCCAGCACCTCCTCGCCCCCCTGCCATGCATCTGATGAGTTCAAATGAGGGAACCAAGTCTCTACAGAGAGAGGAGAGAGGAAGCCCAGCTACAGGGGCCTTACAGAACACCCTCTTCAAGTTCCTACTGAGTTTTAGAAGTTTCCAAAGGTTCCTTCCTTCCTGCATGGTGGTGTCAGAATTATGTTGATCTTGTCATACGGTGAACACTACTAATATGAAGGTTCAGTGTACACTTACCCCACAGACACTCTCCATCCCTTATCTACTTAGTCGTTCAAGTAAGTGCTGGGCATCTGTCTGCACCAATGCCCATTCTCTCCATCCTCCTTGGTCACAGGAATATGTCTCCGGGTGAGGCAATATCCCTGCTAAAAAACCCATTTCCCAGCTGCCACTCAGCGAGTGCCCTGTTCCTTTTAGCTAATGAGATATAAATGGTCACTGAGTGGGACTTCCAGGAAGGGCTCTTTGTCTCTCTATGTGGGATGTTAATACAATGGCTGGTGCTTCAACAGCTATTTTGGATCATGAGGTAACACTCATAAGGATAAAAAGCAGTAAGTTAGGTCTCTGCCCTGGACTGCCTACCTCCTGACTTTTTACATGACAGAAAAAAATTAAGTCTCATGCTTTAGCTGGTGTTGTTTGGGGGTTTTCTGTTCTGTTCAGCCAAAGCTAAACCTGAAGGATAACACATCTTCCCTCTATACTGCTGGGCTGTTCTGTACACCTGACAGAAGTGACTACAGCAGCAAGTGTAGACAAGGCAAATCCTGGCCACAGAAACGCAGGTAGCAGCCAAGAGTCTAACTGAGGAGGACTCAGCTCTAAGACCACCTCCCAGTGTCATCATGGACACACGGCCTTGACAATCAGAGGCCAACTGAGCAATCCCCCAAAGAGCTGGCTATCTGTTTCTCCCCGTCTTGTGAAAGACGATGCCCAGAAATCTCTGGCACAACCAACCAGGCTTTACCTTCCGACTCTAACCAAGGACCCAGGCGCTCGTAGGAATACGTTATTTGAACAAGGACCCTCCACACACATGCACAGGCTCGCTGGTCATGAGCTCACCCACAGCAGAGAAGCCCAGTTAGCCAGCTGAGGAGCTGGGGCCCCGCTGAGAACAGTACCAAAGAGGCTGAGCTGAAAGACACAGCCCAGGAAAAATCCTAAATATCTTCATGACTCATGGTCACGAATGGCTTTCATGGAGATAGCCCTACTAGGGAGAGAATGTTAAGAGGCTGCTCATGAATGAATTTGATAAGCACCCTTCATTAAGACTATTGGCCCAGGCCAGCTGTGACTCAGGCACTCGGAAACACGTGGGTGTTCCATCCAGTGTCGTCAGGGGGTGGGGGTGGGGGTGGGGTGACCTGCCTTTGTCCAGGCCGCCAGATGGGAAAGACTATGGTCATGGCCATCTGACTCAACTTCCACCCCAGCCCACATGGGTGTCAGGAAGGAACAAGAGCATCTGGGCATTTGCAATGAAGGTTTGGCCTAGAAGGAAGTTCGCAGGCCGCCAAGTGCAATCCCTTCGTTGGTCAAAGGAGGGCCCAGAGAGGCAAGGCAACCTGCTGAATGTCACACAGCCGTCTGGTGGCTGGCCAAAGCCAGGAAACCAGAGCCCCCGACCCTGTGGTGTGGTGTCTGCCAGTGTCACTCTGGCAATGACATAATCGGGGGCCAAGTGGATCACTGCCTCCCACCTGTGACTCAGAGGTGGCACTGAAGCCTCCTACAGGTGTCACCAGCACACCAGCCAGTTAGCTGCGGAAACGGAAAAGGAGACAGGGTCTTGTCACTTGGCTGCCCAAAGCCCCATCGAGCTGCAGGCTCCCACAGATCACCCACAACACGAGACACATAGAGTGCCTGACTGTAGAGGGCCCCCTGGGAATGCACATGGATGACCTTTAAATTAATGTCAGCTGAGTCCAAGGTGACTGGCTTGGCCATCTCGGTCTTGGTATGCTAAATCCCGTCCTTGTACCAGGAATGAGGGAATGAATAGGACCTGGCTACACCCAAAATTCCTTTGACCTTAAAACCCCCTTTGGAAATATATAAATGCGCTGTGTTGTCTGTGACTGTCCCTCCATCAGAGTGACAGCCCCCCCACCCGGGTCCCAGCTTGTCTCTATTTCTGCCTCTGGTCTCTTTATTTTCTTTAATTTCTTAATCCTCTGCTCCTCCACTCAGGAACCTATCGTTTTTCCGCGCGGGGTCACGGAAAACAGAGAAACAGCCCCCCACACCTGACTACTAGCCAACCAGCAATGTGGACATAGGTCACCATGAAGAAAATCACAGCAGCCCCTGCTGAGTGTTTATCCTGAGTCAGACCCTCGATCTGAGGTGCTCTGAGTACAGAGCGTCGTTTAAATCTCAGAATTACCCTCTGAGCTCAGTGCAATGATCATCCCTGCTTTCTGAAAGGTTAAAAGCATTGCCCAGGATCACCAGCTACCAAAGGTGGGGCCGAGACCCAAACCCCGGCCCAGAGCTTCCTGCTCAACTTCTATAAACACCGCCTGCCGGGGCCACAAATTCCTGACGAAGAGGTACTGGTCAGGCTACGTTCAATCTCACCTTCTCACCTACCGAGGGCCACACTGGCCATTGTGACAGTAAATGGGGAAGAGGAGGGGGGAGGTTCGCGGGGAGAAAAGATGCCACTACCACGGAGACCATGGGATTCTCTCCACAGAGTAGGGGGGACGGAGGAGACTCCTGAAGAGCTGAGCTCAGTCAGTCAGGAGCCAGGGATGGAGTGGGGTCTCGACACTGGTCCTTCGTTTTCTCCAAACCTAACCTCCCTCCACCCAGCACTGTTTCCTCGCCTGCTCGTGGGATCAATGGCCCCCACTCACAGGGGAGTGAGGAAGCTAAGGAAACACAGGGAAGCAGGGGCCACATCCCTCCATCCCATTCATTCAGGCGCAGGCCCAAGGGCGAGCTCTCCCCACTTGTTAGCGCCGGAAACCCAAAGCCTTTCTCTGGCTTCCTTGGGAATGAGCTCAATCTGCATGCACTCCCAGTGCTTGATGGGAACAATTATGGAGCAACAGAGGCTTCCTGAAACCCCCGGACAGGAGGACATGGAATGGAAGAGGGGACTACCCCTCCCTTGTAAAGAGAACCAGAAAGTCTCCTGGGGTGAAGCGGAAGCTGCCCTGAGTGAGGTCAGCAGTGGCCCTTCCGTCCACGTCCACACGGGGCAGCACAGCGCAGGGGAAGCCTGGTTCCTCCCGCAGGGGAAGTGCTCTGGCGGGGACACCCTCGGGGACAGGACAAGGTCCTGGCTGCACTGGGCAACCACTGGTGGGAAGCCCCCTGTCCTTGCTTTAACACACACACACACACACACACACACACACAAATTCTGTCCCTGCCTCTTTATGTTGCTGCTGTGAAGAACCCACCCCCCAGCTAGGAGCTCATGAAGAAAAGTCCCAGATTCCTTCCCAAGCATCAAAAATCAAAACCCCTGAAAGCACGATCCAACGCCCTGCTAGCCTCGGGGAGGGAGGGTGTCCGACATGAACATCAAAGTGGACAGACAGATGCATCTGTTCTCACTGTTCAGAACAACCCTGGGGATCGGCACTTGCCAGAATCTGAGACATTCAATTCTAAAAACTTCTCATCCTTCCACGCCCCCTTCACATGGCCCTGTGAGGTTCAGTGAAGGGCGGCCTGAGGCAGGGACCAGGCATCCGCCCTGAGGACGTTTAGGATAGAAACAACTTGAGCCCATTTAGTTCCTTGATCACTTTTCATGTCCACGACTCTTTTTTTTTAAATCAGTCAAAATTATTTCCATTAACATCAGTTGTTTTCTTCCTCAAGTCCATTTGAGCCATTGAACAGTTTTACCCCCAAACTTTTCTAATTAGAGCTTGTGCCATAGCATTTTCCATTATTTCTGTTAAACTCAACTTTCCTGGATCAATTGTAGATCAAAAGATTTGTTGAACAGATGGATCGTCTGTTTTTACTGTCTCAAAAATGTTTCCATGTACAGTGTGAGCCATTACCAGTTAATATTAAACTGTACACTATACAACATACTAAGCAATGTAAAGTGTTAAATAAAAGACCCATGGTGTGTATTTCTCCTTAGAGCACATGTGTCAAACACAAGGCCCTCGGGCCAAATCCGTCCCGTCAGGCCTTGCAATGTGGCCCGCACCGCGCTGTCATCACTGCACTCCGCTGCGTTTCCATCACAATGACAGTTTATGACTGTTCAGTAAACCATTCAGCCCGAGATTTAGGCTGGATTTTAGATTTTGGCCCCTTCTCTGATTGAGTTCGACACCCCTACCTTAGAGAAATATGACAAAATTCCGAGTGGTTTTAACAGATAACAGATGTAACACGGGGCCTGAAGCTGTTCTGGTGGAAAGGCCACCAAGTTCTTTAATGCACCGTAATGTCAAAAGAGCCTCCAGGGAGTGTGGGGAGGGGGAGACAGGAGTCAAGGTCACGGTCAAATACTTCTCCTCTGTCCTGGGGTTGAAGATGAGCTTTAGTCCCACTGGTGTGGCTCAGTGGTTGAGCATCAACTTATGAACTCAGAGGCCACAGTTTGATTCCCGGTCAGGGCACATGCCTGGGTTTCAGGCTCGATCCCCAGTGTGGGGTATACAGGAAGCAGCCAGTCAGTGATTCTCTCTCATCATTGATATTTCTATCTCTCTCCCTTTCCCTTCCTCTCTGAAATATATATATGTATGTGTGTGTAAAATGTATATGTATATATATGTGTATATATGTATATATGCATGTGTGTGTATATGGGGTGTGTGTGTGTGTGTGTATGTGTGTATATATATATATATATATATATACATACATATATATATATATTTTTTTATTATTATTATTATTTTTTAATTGGGATGCCAGAGCTGGAAATAGCATCTCCTTCCTCCCAGCCACAGCCACAGAGGCGAGGACCTGAAGGCCTGATGTGGCCAAAGTGCTCTCACCTCCCAGTCTCTCCTTCCCTCCAGGGGAGGAGCTGCCAGCTGCCGGCTGGCCCTCGCCCTGGTCCTGCCTCTGAAGGCACCTGGGGATTGTGAGTAGAGCTGCCAACACTTCCACAGAGATGGCCCCACCGGGACCTCATGAACAAACAGGCCCCCTTTCACGAACCCCAGCTCTTCACACACCACAGCGTCACAGAAGAGACCTCCAGTGCTCTGGACAGACTGGCATTGACTGACCGGGACAATTGGCCACTGTGAGGCAGCACCCTGCACCCGAAGAACTGGGTATATCCCTGGCACCGACAATGCCCATTGTCTTGGGTCTACAACCTTGAACAAGCCACTGGACTTCTCAGATGGGAGTGCCAAGGCCCCTGAGCACTCCCAGGGAGACTGCGTTCCAGCTAGAAGATACATAATCACAGCAGGTCCTACAAGGCCACAGGCCAGATTGCAGTATCCGGCTTCAACCTGTGCAAACGTCTATCAGCAGGCGAGTTCACCACCGGGATAGTTTGCTTTTGCTATCATCTCTGTTGTATATGTCTGCAAATTTCTCCTAACTAAAGCTTATAAGATTCCTTCTTTTTATTTTTTTTTAGATATGTTTTATTGATTTTTTACAGAGAGGAAGGGAGAGGGAGAGTTAGAAACTTCAATGAGAGAAACATCGATCAGCTGCCTCCTGCACACCCCCTACTGGGGATGTGCCCACAACCAAGGAGCATGCCCTTGACTGAAATCGAACCTGGGATCCTTGAGTCCACAGGCCGACACTGTCCACTGAGCCAAACCAGTCAGGGCTACAAGATTCCTTCTTGATGTACTTTTTTTAAAAATTCATGGATTTGAGAGAGAGAAAAACGTTGATTTTTGTTGTTGTTGCTGTTCCCCTTATTTATACATCCCTGGGTTGCTTCTTGTATGTATCCTAACTAGGGATCGAACCCACAACCTTGTGGCAGGATGATGCTCTAACCCACCATCGCCAACCTTTCAGACCTCACGGACCAGGTCCGCGGACCACTGGTTGGCAACAGCTGCTCTAGCCAACTGAGCTACCCGGCCAGCTCATGAAGTTCTTAATCAGCTCTCATGTTGCTGCTTATCTGGCATTGCTGCTTCCTTAAACTCCAAACTCTGCACTGGGTTGAGCAACAGCGTAATGTATACCTCCCTTATCCCTCACATTATATGTCAACTCAAAATAGACCAGCAGTTTCTAATCAAACGCAATCCTAAGAAAACACATTCTTTTAAACAGCTGGAGAAATGTGAAGAAAAGACTGGTTACTAGATATTAGACGGTAATTCTGTCAGTTGTGAAAATGTGACCTTTAAAAAGGCTCTTCTCTGGTACAGATAAATACTAAAGTGTTTGTGGGTGAAGTAATACGCTATCAAGGATTAAGAAAAGATAAGAAGAAATGAGAAAAATGAAAAAAAATAGGGTGCGTGGGTAGATAAAACATGAGTGGCAAGGCATTAGCCATCGCTGGGCTGGTGATGTGCTCACTGATTATTCTCTCTACTTTTGTGTGTCCTTGAAACATTCCATAACAAAAAGTGGTAAAGAAATGGTGTTTTTTTCCAGTCTATGGTCTATACTATCATCTTTGCTATTTACAAGCTACAGAGTCACAGAACTCTCAAGAAAATGCTACTCACTATAAGATTAGGGAATCCAAAGATATTTGTTGAACAATCATATCTTCTAAATAAATAAACAAACTACCTGCAGGAATGCCCACTCAGAGAAGTAAATAATCAAATGCTAGCCAAGCAAGAGCCGCCTTTACAATACTGGCAGGGCTCCCCCCTCTCTCGCCTCTCCCCCCTTTTCCCTTTTCCCCTCCTCCCTGTCCCATCCCGTCCTGTCCCTCAAAGCCCATCTTGCCCACATGAGGGGGAGGGGTCCCAACACTGGCCCCCAACCTCCTGCTTGTGGCCAAACCCCTCCAGCTGTCTAGAGGTTATCTCTTCTGCTATGATTTACAGCCCTCAGATCTTGCCCTGTCTCTAGCAGAGACAAGAAAAAAATACACCCACTTACAGTGACAAAGCACATTATCACCACAGCACTTTTTTTTTCTTTTTAAAAATCTTTATTGTTGCAAGTATTATGTGTCCTTCTTTTTTCCCCATTGACCCCTTCTAGCCCACTCCTGCTTGCCCCCCCATCTCCCCCCACTACTCCCCTCACCCAGGCCCTCACCATCCTATTGTCTGTGTCCTCCAGTTATGCATATATGCATACAAGGTCTTTAATTGATCACATCCCACCCACTCTCCCCTTCCTTCCCTCTCCACTCCTCACCACAGAAACCAAAGTGCAGGCTGCTGGGTGCCCCTCCCTGAATTGTACTTCTATTGTGCAAGGAAGGGAGGGAGAAGGGAGGGAGGGAGGGAAGGAGGGAGGGAGGGAGGGAGGGAGGGAGGGAGGGAGGGAGAGAGGGAGGAAGGATGAGGGGAACTGGGGCAAGAGTGCTTATTAAATCCCTACTGAGCACCATGTATTCACCTGTGAAATCTAGCCTAGAGCCCCAGAGGCAAGTATTGCTGTGCTCCTTTAACACCCAAAGAAACTGAGGTTAAGAAGCTAGTCCAAGGTCCCAAGGCTGGAAGGGAAGAGACCCAGACTCAAAGCCAGAGCCCAGGACTCCTGGAGAGGAAGAGCACCAACCAGGAGTCTGCATCAGTCCACTTCTCCAAGGGGACACGTACACGGTAAGTCCAGATCCTGTGAGAACCACAGAACCACTGGGCCCCCACAGTTCGCTAACCGTCCCCACAGCACCATCTGCACCCCCCTCTGCCAGGACCTCTGGCCAAACTGTCCTCCCTGCAACACAGCCCTGCCCAGCTCTCCGCACCCCCAGCTCTGGACCCAGGAGCAAATGGGCTCCAGGGAAACTGCGACAGGCTTTCCAGCGTCAGCTCCTCCCTGGGCTGTTTTATTTTTATATTTTTATATTATTTTATTGATTTTTTTTTACAGAGAAGGAGAGAGGGATAGAGAGCTAGAAACATCGATGAGAGAGAAACATCGATCAGCTGCCTCCTACACACACCCCCTCTGGGGATGTGCCCGCAACCAAGGTACATGCCCTTGACCAGAATCAAACCCTGGACCTTTCAGTGTCCAGGCCAACACTCTATCCACTGAGCCAAACCGGTTTCAGCTCGAAGATGATTTTTAAAATAGGTTCGAAGTCATTGACACAAGAAATACTCGGGAGAAATGATGGGAGTATCCATCAGTGGCCCCTTCCCTCCCAGGCTGGGACCCACAAAAGGCGCTTCTCACTGGGAGAGCTTCCTTCGATCGGCCAGGACAGGTCTCCCGCCAGCCAGCCCCTCACACAACTGCTTGTCTCCACTCCCAAGATGCTGCCACTAACAGAGGCAGAGGGCACACCCAACCTAGACAGGGTGACTGCAGCTGACACTACCTCGCTCTGCAGCTTGGAGTGGATGGTTGGGAAGGGCGTTCTCAAGGCTTTCCACCTGGGAGAGACCCTCAAAGAAGGCGTGAAATCAGGAAGGAGAAGGACAACTCACCCCCAGGGCCACCAACGCGTGCTAGATGGCAAGAGACACCTGGTCAGCCTCCCAGGCCCAAGGCCCTCTAAAAGGCCCAGCACTCACAGCCTCTCCTTCCTGCAAAATGCAGGGAGTTTCCTTAAAGCAGCATCACTCCTAGCGATCCTGGGAGCCTTATAAAGAGCAGGGACCGTGCTACTGAAATTTTAACTCCCAAAACCTCACCCGGTGGCCTGCACACTGCGGATGTCGGAAGAATTATGTGTTTAATTAAGAGACAGCTAGAGTGCAAATGAGAAGCCACCAACAGCTCCCTGTAGTCAATCATTTTAATGCACTTTGTTAATTTTTCCTCCTGTGGCTCACAGAATCAGATAAACCTCTCTCCGGGAGCATTTATCCTTGGAAACGGCCATTGGTAAGGTAAAAACTCACCTGGATGGCGCCTAGATGGTGCGGTGTGAGCGCCATTCTTTACAGATCGGAATAATTCCCCCTTTCCGCTCTCGTGCCTCCCCTTCCCCGCCTCCCCCAAGCTGAATGATACATAACCCAGGTCCCAGTGGGTCTTTGGGAAATCCGTTCCTGGGTAAAATTTCGCCCTCTCTGAGTTCAAAGGAACAAGTACTTATTCCAGTAGTTCGCCATGGGATGAGAGAGTGTATGTGGAAAAACACTGACACCTGCCCAATATATGTTGATGCCACGCCTCTTGAATTATTAATATTTATTCCCTCGGTCTCCTCGACAAGATAGCCAACTCCGTGAAGGCAGTGACCACGTTTGTACACCCGTGAGCCTCCACCTCCATGGCGGTGAGGAATCTGCCCTGGGAAACATGTTACTCCAAGTCCTTCATCAGCCCGGGACCTAGCTGTCCCTCCCCAGCGTCCCCAGGCTTCGGGCTTGCCTGGGTCATTGGTCGCCTGGCACACTTCAAAACAGAGCCAAAGGAGCCACTGATTCACTGTCAACTCCCCTCGTCCGACCCATCTGTGGCCCCTAGGTCAACCTGACTTAATTTTATCTGCCACCTGCAAGATCTCCAAAGAATTTCAAGGTCAAGGGGACGCAGATGAAAACGAAGGCTCAATAT